AATGCATCTTATCAGTTCATGCACGCAGTCGGTGAGCGACCGCAGAAGCTCTGGCCGCGGGTGCGGCAGGAGCTGTGGACCTTCCGCTCAATCTTGCCTCTCCTCTTCACACATATCAACATCCCTTGGCACAGCGTCATTGCAGCATCAGACGCATCCCTCTTCGGCATCGGAGTGTGCACGCGTGTTGTGTCGCCGGAACAGTCTGGCGAGATAGGCAGATATGCTGAGCGATGGAGGTGCCAGGTCGCCGGTGCGGAGCGCGCCAGAAAACATGCGTTGGAGCGTCTGGAGAGAGATCGCCACCCTGTCGCTGAGCCCGGGGGTCGCTGTCCTGGGCCACCAGTACCTGGGCCTGATCAGCCTCCTGTGGGACCCCTCAGTGGCGCTCAAGACGCTTTGCGGGACTCCACGCCGGTCGAGGGCTTCGAGGACCTCCAGCAGTTCCTTGAGGTCTCGGGGGCTTTGTTCGAGGAGGTGCCCGAGGACGTGCTGAAGGGCCCCTGGGGTACTGTGCTCGCGTCGAGGGTTCTTGTGGACGCCAATATCCTGGAGCTCGAGGGGGAGGCCCTCATGGTGGCCGCCAAGCACATCTTGAGGTCATCGGAGGCTTTCAATCGTCGCGTGGTCCTGCTGGTGGACAACCTGCCCTTAGCTCTGGCGGCCTGCAAGGGCCGAGGGACGTCGCGTCATCTGCTTCATCCCTTACGTAAGCTGGCATGTTTATCGCTCGTCTCTGGGGCGCGCTTTCACATGCGTTGGATCCCGTCCGAGGTCAACCCCGCTGATATACCCTCCAGAGGCAAGCTGGGCTGGTTTGTGGGCCCTCACCCACCTCCTCGCCCTGTGGGTCGCTGTTTTGGCTCTAGTGTCGATGCATCGGTCGATGCATCTGGGCCGACAGAGGAGCACGCCGGCGTGGCCCCGCACGACGCGTCGGATCCAGACGATGGCGCCGAAGGGCCTGCCGGCCAGGCGCCCACGCCAGCGGGCGAAGCCGACCTCGCGAGCCGGGGTGCTGAAGGCGCAGCGAGCTGCCTCCGCCTCACGTCTCACGGCAGCGCGGGCACCTGTGGGCAACCTCAGCTTGCTGGAGAGCCTGGCCGTTACGCCGGGCACGGAGGTGCTGTACGTGGGCATAGCGACTCACTTCCTCCAGTACTGTCAGGGGATGGGAGCGGAATGGCAGAGCGCCGGCGAGCTGGACCCCCTGCTGGTGGCGTTCTTCAACGCGCTCTTTCTGGAGGGGGCGAGCGTCGAGGACGGCTCGAAACTGCTGGCCAGCCTGTCGCACTTCATCCCAGACCTCTACAAGTCGACAGCGGCAAAGTTGCCGCGGGCCAGCCGCTGTCTAGTTGCTTGGCGCCGGAGGGTCCCGCCGCGCATGCGACTTCCGTTGCCTCGCGCGGCGGCCCTCGCTCTGGCTGGGTGCCTCCGCCACCTGGGCTTCCCGCGTATGCGCCTGCGGGTGGTGATCACGTTCGTGGCGTACCTGAGGCCTCACGAGGCGTTCCTCTTACGCGGGAAGCACCTCGTCGCCCCGAAGGTCGTGGCGGGCCGGCAGTGCAGCTCTTGGGGCCTGCTGCTCCACGACGCATCGCTGGGGGACCCAGGGAAGACGGGGATGTTCGACGCCGCGGTGCTCCTGGACAGGTGCGCGTGGCCGCTGCCGTGTCTGGAGGCGCTGAAGCACCAGTCGCTCGAAGAGGGCAGCCTGTGGGACTTCTCTCCGGCGGACCTGCAGAAACAGTTTACCATGCTGGTCAAGATCCTCGGCCTCGAGGCGCTCTCCCCGCATCTGTACTCGTTGCGCCGCGGCGGCGCCAGCGACGACCTCGCGACTGCTGTCAGGACTCAGGAAGAGGCGCTGGGCGACCATCACGAGCCTCAAGAGGTACGGGAAGACAACCCGGCTCCTGCTCGAGATGGCGAAGGTGCCCGAGGATGCGTTCGAGCTCGGCCGCGCGGCGGAGGCGAACTTCGCGAGCGTGATGGCCGAGGGTTTCGACAGCGCGCAGTCGCCGGTGCGACTGCCTCCACGCATCGCGGCCTTGCTGGGCCCCGGGCGGGGCGTGCCGCGCGGGCTGCCGGGGAGTTCCTAGAGCCCGAGGTGCGGCGCTGTCTGCAGCGCGCCTTTCGTGCCTGTGCTGCACCGCGCCCTCGATTCATGAAGCATCTCGTCTTCCTGGAACACTTTGCAGGCAGTGGTCGCATTGCGGCTGCAATTCAGAGGCTTGGGTATCGTGCGTTGTCTTTCGATCTGCTCAATAATCCACGTGATGATCACCTTGACCCTACTTTCCAGAAGGTCATAGTTGGTTGGCTAACGTCAGGCTGCATCGCTGCGCCGTGGCTAGGTACTCCATGTACTACGTGGACGCGTGCCCTTCGCCGCCCTTTGCGGAGCAGTGCGGATCCCCTCGGCGTACACGACCTGTCTGAGTTTGAGCTCGAGCGCTTGAGGATTGGCAACGCCACGTTCTTCTTCAGCGTTATGCTTATCAGACTTTGTATTGCTTCCAACATTCCTGTCTTCCGGGAGAATCCGAGGACCTCGATTATGTGGTGGACTGAGCACATGAAAGACCTCATGAGTAGCCCCGTCTTTTTCGATGCTTGCTGCGATTTCTGTCAGTATCACGTCCCCTGGAAAAAGGCAACTAGAATAGCCGTCTGGCACGGCGGCAGTCCTCCCTCGCTGTGCAAGCGCTGTTCTGGCAAGCGCGGATTTTGCAGTATGACCAAAAAACGCCACATAGAGCTCTCTGGTAATGCGCCGGAAGGGCGCAAATGGACCAGCATCGCCACTCCGTACCCTGTCTCGTTTGCCAATGCTGCCGCTCAATGCATGGTCCAAGCTGCTGAGAATTTAAAAACTCATAGGCTGAAATGTATTTCTATGGGCCTGTAGTGCGGCCAGTTCCGGCCAATCCTCCTGTGCGGGATCGGGTACTTGGCGTCCAGATGCTCTGTGCTGATCACTCTCTGACCCCCTATCTCAACTGCAGTTTGAATCTCGACAGCGGCGGCCCCGACGTGGTGCCTTCGCGCTCGCCTCACGATAACATTCATCGTCTGGTCAGTGTAGTGATCGCCCGGGCTGGATGCGTTCACCACTTTAAGCCAAGTAGTGTCGCAGCTGGCCGCAGGAACATCGTTCCGTAATCCTCAAGGCTCCCTCCCTCCCTTTTATTTGCCCGCTTTCGGTACTTGGCGTCCAGATGCTCTGTGCTGATCACTCTCTGACCCCCTATCTCAACTGCAGTTTGAATCTCGACAGCGGCGGCCCCGACGTGGTGCCTTCGCGCTCGCCTCACGATAAAATTCATCGTCTGGTCAGTGTAGTGATCGCCCGGGCTATATATATATATATATATATATATATATATATATATATATAGATGCACACACGGCAGGTTCTCGCGGCGTTGGCGTGCCGACGCCGCTGGCGATGGCGCGCAAGGTGGAATATCTCGTGGCCTCGTGGAGGGAGGGTCGTTCCAAGGTGGGGCCGGGGAATGGGCCCTCCTCCTCCTCCTCCTCCTCCTCCTCCTCCTCCTCCCTCCTCCTCCTCCTCCTCCTCCTCCTCCTCCTCCTCCTCCTCCTCCTCCTCCTCCTCCTCCTCCTCCTCCTCCTCCTCCTCCTCCTCCTCCTCCTCCTCCTCCTCCTCCCCCCCCTCCTCCTCCCCCCCTCCTCCTCCTCGTCCTCCTCCTCCTCCTCCTCCTCCTCATCCTCCTCACCACCCACCAAACCACCCCAACCCAACCCGAAGGCTCAGATTTACCCTCGATTTCAAGTGGGGGGGGGTCGGGAAACATCGAAAAAAAACACGTGTGGAGCCCTTACCCCCCCCCACACCCGAAATTCGGGTCTTCGGGTTGGGTTGGGGTGGTCTGGTAGGTAGTCAGGCTGGGGAATGGGCCCGGCTGGATGCTGCCATTTATCGCGCGTCCTCCTTCCAGGGGCCGTTTGGAGCGGTTTTCCTTCCAACCCCACTTTTTCCCAAACCCCACCTTTGTACCCCCCCGAACATTGCGACGCGGATGACTGAGGTACACGGCGAAGCCAGTTGGCCCGATTGAAGTCAATTTTGAACGATCGGATCCGTGATCGGTTCAAGGTTGATAGTTCGGCGCGGTGTCACAAACCGCTGCGTTAGCCGACGCCGCACGAATCTATCGTGTATAATTCTGTCAAATCAGCTATTCATGCATATGTTTTTATTTGTCGTCCAAAATCCGACTGTGGGAGTCGAAGCTTTTCGATGCCTATTTTGGTCATGGCTTTTGCCAGCCATCGCCGAATCGCGAAGACGCTCCACGGATTGACACTGACCGCGATGGTCGGTGACCAAGTTCTCCACGACGTTTTCGCTTTCGGCCTTGGCCTTTCTGTCGCAGAGCGTCAGAAACGGGGGTCAATGCAAACGGGGGGCAGCCACAGCGTCAGATCTTGCAGAACCCTGCAGAGCCAGGGGTGATTTGACGCGGGCTTTCGCGCAGGAGTTTGCTGGATCCTGCAGGATCCTGCAGGATCATGCGAAGCCTGAGTGACCCGGGTTTGCGTTGACCCTGGTCAGTGTGTTCCCGAGAACGTTGCCCGTGCCGCCACAGGCATCAGCAGTGTTTCCCGACCATCCTGTGGTGTTGGGGTGTTCGGTGCGAATCCGCAGCCCCCCGCGTCACCTGCTCATTCTGGACGACAGCCAACCTGCTTCTTGAGGACCCCTGTCTCGGGCCTGTTCCAAATACCGTTCTCACTTCTAGCCACAAGCATGAATGGACATATCGGGTGCTGTTACGTGTATGGACACATGCGGGGTGGATGGGTCAGACGACATCTTGGCCGTTGCGTTTGGCGTAGTACAACGTCGGAGAAAGGGTAGATCGTCTATGGTATGTTCCCATTCTCGAGCGGGTCCCACATGGTGTTCCAGCTCCTCATGTTTACCCTTCCCTTTTTTTACAGATTGCGAGCATCTGATTTTGCCGTCATCAGGCCGATCGTCCGGACCCGCGCGGGCACCGCCTCCGCATCCGCCCGGAAGTTGCTGATGGGCATGATAAGTTTCACGGTTGTTGGGCTGTGTTTTTCATGTGTGTTGCATTTGGCAAGATTGCAGGGATCGCAAGGCCGTCCCGCATCAGCGTTTTCACCGCTTACATGACCATGTAGTGTACGGTAGGTTCGAGTCGTACCGTCGTGGTACCGACCCCGCCGCGTGCGCTGACGATTGAATCCCGCCAGTGGCCCAGAATCGACCTTTTTGAAAACAAGCTGGCGATCGACCAGCCACCGCTTGACGATCCGCTTGGTGTCGAAAAACCAGCATCAGGGTCGTCATGATGCGCTAATTCGTTAGTCCAGACCGCAGAGGCCACTGCTCCTGACGGAGCCGTTGGGCCGGCCGGCCGCCCTGACGTTAGGGAGGACTGCGTAGCACCACTCTGGCTTTTACCGCCCGTGATCTCGAGAGCCTTTTTTCTTGCGCTCGTTCTGCCCCCCCTCAGCAAGCCGTCGAATTTTGCTCGGCGCGATTCGCGCGTTATTTTTGTCAGGGTTTTCCTCCGCGCGTGTGCGCATGTCTGTTGGTTCATCATTGCGCCGAGTCGCCGTTCCCTTCCTTTCGCCTCCTCCGAATAGTTGTGTGCTCCTTCGGCCGCAGAAGCTCGAGCAGAAAAACGGTGCAAGCATAAACGTTTGGAGGTCCGATGGGATTTTTCTTGGATCTGCAATGCCACCTCACCCCTCTCTGGCGCGCGGAGGGCGCCAGGGGCGCCGCCAAGGGGGGCTCCGGCGCAGATCCAAGAGGTCCGCGCAGAGCGCCGAGAGCCTGTGGTTCTGCCGGGGAGGCGCCATCAGAGCTCTCGGGCTCCCCCCCGGCCAGTCCTCCTCTTGTGTGACTCCACGGCGTCCGTGCCCTTGCGCGGGGCGGCCGCCCGGTCAGGCGTGGCGGCCCTTGCGCGGGGAGCGCCGGGGTACACTTCGCACCCTCCGCCTGGGGTGATTTTCGACGGCGAGCCCAGGGGGGAAGTGAGACTTGCAGGTGATTCTGAGAATGTTGTTGTTCCCCTTTGGGTCATAACGCGCGTTATGCTGCCCCCTCCCCCCTCCCCCTCTCATAACGTAGCGCTCCCCCCCTCAGTGCGTCCCTGGCACTGCTCCAGTGCGTCCGGCACCACAATCTAGGGGAGGGGGGGGGCGCAACGTTATGCCCCCTCCAGTCCCCCCTCCACTCCCCTTACCCATAACGCCTGTTATGGCCGTGATTTAAACCATGCGCTCTTTCTCCGCCAATCTCGGGCTTGTGCCCGAAAAGTTGGAAACCCTGGGATACACCCAAAGGGGGCTGTTCGGACGCACCTCTATCGAGAATGGACGACCTCCCATCGTAGATCCCAGGGTTGGGCCCCATATTTCTGTTCCATTCGAAAACCCCACGAAGCCTGGGAGAAGGGTTCGGAATATCCCCCGTCAGAGAAGGGGTGGGCCTTCGCAGACGACGCGGAAGGCCTCGGGCCTCCTGAGAGATTGGCTGAGCCTATCCCAAAGGTGCAGATTCTGCGCCTTCGGGGAAGGCTCAGAAGCCCTCGCGCCCTCTGAGAAGACCCGCCCCCTCTGCCACTGGGACGCCTGGTGATCTGGGGTCATGACCCGTCTCTGAGGTGGATGTGTTCGGTACAGTCGGTGCGCTGAAGAAGGAACCCTTTTCGTTGTGGAGGGGCTCCGTGTTCCTGAATTGTTTCACCGGTTGCCTCAGGATGTCCTCATGTTCTCGATGGGAAATCGAAGTTTAATTGATGGAAAAAAGGGGCCTCGTTCCTTATTTAGGGTTCCTTAGGTCAACGCCCCGACTGTACGATCGGGGCAATCCGCCACGCTCTCGGCGAGGCACGGCGGCGGGAGCGCACCCCGAGGCATCTGATGTTCCAACCTGTTTTGGCCTGAAATGCCAGAAAGGATTTCGAGCACCAAGAAAGTACCGAAACTCCAGGGCTTTCACGTGTCCGGCCCAGGGACACGCTCGCTCGGCACCGTTTCGACGCTTGTCCAGCTGCTCGAGATTATTTCTGGGAGGTGGTCCGCAAGTGCCAAAGGGGCTGGCCATCGCTCGGACGTGTGCATCTTTCCTTCGGCGAGGACCATCGAGGAGCATCCTTGATCATTTCGTAAACAAGCCACGCACGAAGCCTAAGAAAAACACAGGAAAGGGACGTCCGAGCGATGGCCAGGGGGGGGGGGGGGGGGCAGCATGGCCCGAGGCTGGCACGCCGCGGAGGGCCCGCGAGGACGCCCGAGGACCTCGAGCCTCGAGCACGGGGCCTCGGAAGGCCTGCCCGGCCCCCCCCCCTCCTCCTCCTCCTCCTCCTCCTCCTCCTCCTCCTCCTCCTCCTCCTCCTCCTCCCCTCCTCCTCCTCCTCCTCCTCCTCCTCCTCCTCCTCCTCCCCCTCCCCCTCCTCCGCCTCCTCCTTCTCCTCCTCCCCCTCCTCGGGTCGCCTACGGCCCCGGGGGACACCGTGCACCTCCCCCTCCCCTTCCCCGGGCGCGCCGCCGAGGCCTCAGTCCAGGCTTCCGTCGGGCCCGTCCCTCTGCAGGAGGAAAAAACGCCACAGTGATCCAGAGATGGTAGGGGCACGATGGTTCTATTACTTGGTCACTGAGTTGAGCATGTTTGACTATTTCCTTGGCATCGCTCGGACGTGTGCATTTTTCCTTCGGCGAGGGCCATCGAGGAGCATCCTTGATCATTTTGCGAAAAAAAAACCACGCACGAAACCGAAACAAACACAGGGAATGGACGTCCGAGCGATGGCGAGTCACTGTTTTGAGCATGTTTGACTATTTCCCCACCCGGCAGGTTGGGGTTGTTAGATTTCAAGAACAGGCCCCCCGGCCAACCCCACGCATACCGCGGCCGCCAGACCCCAAGGTGTCCCGAGGGTCCCCGAGAATCCCTGGGACTCCCGCCTCGCGCCCTCGACAAAGACGACTGCATACCGCGGCCGCCAGACCCCAAGTTTTCCCCGAGAGTCCCCGAGTCCCTGGGAGTGCCGCCTCGCGCCCTCGACAAACACGGAAAATTCAGCAATCCATAGCATAACATGACATACCATAACACAGCGATACCATGACACGCACAGCGTAATAGAACAACACGAAGCACATCATGGCAGAACAGTGCAGAACATACACGACATAACGCACCATACCATACCATAGCTGATCATAGCATAACACTCATTGGTGGACTATATCATACCATGACAGCGTTCGGAGCATGTCATTCCACACCAAGTGAGCATAGCGACGAACACGGCAGCACACAGCATGCCGCAAAGTAAATTAACATTACAAAACATGATCACGACATAAGTTGACGGAACATCAGATGGCAGTATCATTACAATACCGGCTTTGGGTATACAATCACAGATCCTGCTTTATCATATGATGGCACAATAGCACAACGTAGTAGACGCAACATTACATACTATACCATACCATGACATATTATGCCAGAACAATGCATAGCATGAGACAACACACCACAACACAACATCACACAACAAACATGACATACCATAGCATTGCAATTCGTGACACATTACATCATACCATAACATCATAACAATTACCATGACATAACATTGCATACCATAACATGACATAACACACCATACCACAACAGGATCGAGCATACCATACCACATCTTGACGGAACATATCATATCATGGCACATCGTTCAGAACATGCCATAACACGCCAAAAGAACATAGCGACGAACACGACAGAACACACTACGTCACACTGGAAGATGGCATAACAACACGCGGCCATGACATAACATGAGCAGCATCGTTACACAACAGACCATGACATAACATGACAGAACATACCAGATCATACAATTCACAATACAGTAGACATACTGCGACATAACATAACATGTCAGGACATACCATGACGAAACAATGCATATCATGAAAGAGCAGAGCACAACATAATGTCACATAACAAACCAGAGCAGAACGTCACATAACAGATAATCACCTAACATCAGAGACCACACCAAACCAGAGCACAATATAACTTCACATAACAAGCCCAAACCAGGCCAGACCCCCAGTTCTCCCGAGAATCCCCGAGTCCTTGCCGCCGCCCCGCTGCGGGCGGCCTTCTCGCCTGCGTCCCTCAGTCTGAGGATGGGAGGGGGGAAGACGGAGGAGGGGCAGGAGGCATGGGGCAGGAGGAGGACAGGGGCCCGAGGTTTCGGTGAGGATCGCTCGAAGTAGATCATGTTGGCCAGTTCTTCATATCTCGTCCAGAACCTATCTGTAGGGGGACGTGCCCGACCTCGGTCCGGGCCGCATAATGCCCCGGCTCTCCGGCGTGCCCGTGCCCGCGGCCCCCGCGGGCGCGCCGCCGAGCCCTCATTTTTCAGGCCGCAGAGGCCGCTGCGCTCCGGCGGCTCCCTTCGATGCACGGCTTCATGATGTTTCTGCTACCAGCTGTCGCTCCAGTCCGTGTCCGGGAAGGAAAAAAGGGGCGGCTCTCGTCGGGCCCTGCTTGTCTCGGGCCGGACGAACGGGGGGGGAGTGGGGAAGGGGGGGTCTACGAACATTGCTGCATGCAGCTGGTTTCGGCCCCACCGAGGGGCCCATTCCTCGATACATTGCCGCCACTGGCGGCGGGAGGCGCCGGGGAAATCAGCTGCGTGAGCTGATTCTCAACCCCCCCTTTGCTATCCCCCCCCTTTGCCCGACCCGTTTGTCCTGACGACCGTTCCCCTCTGTGGCTGTTCGTGCTGTCGCGGAGTATCGGGTCGCCCAGATCTCCGGATCCAGGGCACGTCGACAACATGCGCCACAGGAGGACCAGGGGAAGGATTGGGAACAGGACGAGCATGAGGAGGAGGAGGAGGAGCGTGGGGAGGATCTGAGAATGGATGATGAGAAGGGGGAGGGAGGGAGTGGGTTTGACAAGCTAGGTGCGCTCGCGTCAGATATGGCGTTCTACCCCTTCCTCCATCCCGTACCGTGGCGTAGACATCCTCTCTATTCGCACCGTCGGATGTCGAGCAGGGCAATGATCGCGAGAGGGTACGCGATGCATGGTGGAACACGGCATGGCATGGCGTAGAAGAGCACGGCAGAGCGTAACATACCATAGTATGGCGTGGCGTTGTGCAGTGAATCATTGCATCACAAAGCATTGCAACGCAAAGCATGGCATCGCACAGCGGCGTAGAACACAACACCGCACAGCATGTCTTGGCATGGCGCCAGGTTCCTTGGATGGTAAGTGGATCGGCTTCGAGAGGTCTGGGCCGGTCTGGAGTCGTGGCTCCATGTCTAGCTCCTTGGGCTCCCCGAAAAGCTCCACACAAGGCGGGGCTGATGGAGAATTCCCGCTGGCTCTGCTTTCAACATCGCCTTTAAAAAGCAGAAGCGAGGCTCCCGCTTGATACTTCTTGAAAACGGCGGCGCCCCAGAGTGGGTGGGGGGATTCTGCGGCCTAGAAGAAGAACGAATCGACACCGAATGTGTAATCACTTCCGATGGTTTTTTCGGGGTGCCATTTTTTAGATTTTGGGGCCTATTTGGAAGGAGGGCCAGCGCTGCAGCGGGAGCACGATTCAGAACGCGCGGAAGCGCGGACGTGAGGCAAGCGCTGCAGCGGGAGCACGATTCGGAACGAGCGGAAGCCCGAAAATGAGGCCAGCGCTCCAGCGGGAGCAACAGTTTGAACAACAGACCCAAGCGAAAGCCCATGTCCTGGGACCATGTGCAGAAACCATCCGCGGAAGGGGGGCCGGATGTCTTGCGAGCGTCACCAGGGGAGAGAGGAGGGCAGTCTTCCTATTGTGCAACTGCGGAGGCGGAGGCGGAGGAGGAGGGAGGAGGGAGGAGGGAGGATGTGGACGAGGGATTCATGTGAAGGGAGGAGGCGGAGGAGGAGGAGGAGGAGGAGGGGGAGGGAGGAGGAGGAGGAGGGTGACGAGGAGGAGGAGGAGGAGGAGGAGGAGGAGGAGGAGGGGGGAGAGGGGGGAGGAGGAGGAGGAGGAGGAGGAGGAGGCAGCGGGGAGGGAGCCACGAGCGCTGCCCAGGTCCTCCCTGGCGCACGTGTGCCGGCCCTGCGAGGTCGAGCGGGTCGGCGCCAGGCCCCGCGGGGTGCTCGGCGGTCTCGGCGGGGGCGTGGCGCGCCGGTCTGGAGGTGGCTTCGCCCCGCCCTCCCCGCCCTCCTCGGGGGCGGCCAAGAGGGGGGGGTGATGACTAGAGGGGGGGGGATGACTAGAGGGGGGGGGGGAATGACTAGAGGGGGGGGGGATGACTAGAGGGGGGGGTGACTAGAGGGGGGGGATGACTAGAGGGGGGGGGGGATGACTGGAGGAGGGGCTCGGTGTTCCTTGATTGTTCCACGCCTGGCCCGAGGTTTTCCTTCAGTTGTCGATGTGGAGTCAAAGGTCAGCTTGTGAAGAGAAGGGGCCTCGTTCCTGATTTAGGGTTGCTTAGGTCAACGCCTTGACTGTACTTCCCCAGACTCCATGGCGCCCCCTCTTGTTTCAATACGCCCCGGGCCCCCCCACTGGACCCGGACATCTTGCTATGGACATGAATCTTGCCCGCACATCTTGAGGCCCCAGGAGACCGTCCGAAACGCAGCGGCGAGAAGGCCCGAACTGCATGTTTTTCCTGAGGTTTGGGCTTCCCACCTCTCCTCAGCACGCTCTGCGGCACGCTCGGCTCCGGTCTGGAGGGCCAGCAGCGGCCAAGTTTCCCTCCCACGGGAGGGGGAGGCTTTGGCAGGCGCAGCCGCGAAGCCCAGGGAAGAGAGGGGGGGGTGAGCGCGGCGTTCCAGGTGAGCGATCGGCTCGCTCTCGTCGTCCTCGTCGTCCTCGTCTCCTCCCCTCGTCGGGGAGACGAAGACAGGAACGCAGAAGCAGCCTGGATGATCGGCGGGTCCCGCTCCCGTGCAGAGTCGAGGCGCCCCATCGCCACGTCAGGCGGCACAGGCTGTTTGTTTCGGGTGGTGCGCCTTCCCCGATACGTGCCCGTGCGTCCGCTCCACGGGCCCGTGATCCGTGCCGGCACCTGCCCGAGCTCTGCTCTTCTTCTTCGTCTTCTTCTTCTTATTATTATTATTATTCCTCTTATTATTCTTCCTCTTTTTCCTCCTCCTCCTCCCCCTCCTCCTCCCCTCCTCCTCCTCCTCCCCTGCTCCTCGTTCCCTCCTCTCTGAGCTCAGCCATCGGAGGCTCTCCCGCCCGCCGGCCCAAGCCCGTTCGGAGCTGGCCCCTCGAACCCCTCCCGCAAGTACCTCCCGCCTCGTTTTCCGAGGCGGACCCGGCCGCGGCGACGAGAAGTCCCCGGGAGGCTCCAGAAGGACGACGCGCGCCATCGACGGCTGCTGCTGTCTCGACGGGCCCTCCTCCCGGGAGGTCCGGCCCTGCTTTTGCGGCGGAATCCCCCGCTCAATCCGGCTCAATCCCGCTTCATCCGGCTGCATCCCGCTCAATCCGCAGCCTCATCTGGCGCACCAGCGGGAAACATCAGTGTGTCTTTTGTGTGTCTTTTTCCCACTGTGTGTGTGTTTTTCCCACAGGTGTGTGTGCGTGTGTGTGTGTGTGTGTGTCTGTGTGTGTTTTTGTGTGTATGTGTGGTGTGTGTGTGTTTTTGTGTGTATGTGTGGTGTGTGTGTGGTGTGTGTGTGTGTGCGTGCGTGCGTGCGTGCGTGCGTGCGTGCGTGCGTGCGTGCGTGCGTGCGTGCGTGCCTGCGTGTGTGCGTGCGTGCCTGCGTGTGTGTGTGTGTGTGTGTGTGTGTGTGTGTGTGTGTGTGTGTGCGTGCGTGTGTGTGTGTGTGTGTGTGTGTGTGTGTGTTTTGAGTGTTTTTGTCCCACAGTGTGTGTGTGTGTTTTTGTTCCATGGAGCTCAAGTCTCCTCAATCCTTCCGACGCACACCTCCCAGCAGCTGCCTCCGAACCGACACCTTCTTCCTCCTCGCCCTCGCCCTGCCCCGGCACCCGGGCGGCCGGCTCGGAGGGCCGTTTTCTCGACGGGCCCCCTCCCGGGCCCGGCGGGTGTGCCCGCTCCGCTCCCCGCGAGTGGCTGGCCTCCACGCCCCGCAGTGGCGCCGAGCAAACATGGAGGAAACGGCCCTGTCTGCCACCCTCGCCACCCTCGCATCACTCAGGAGCATTCCAAGACGATTCAGACATCGACGTCTTAAGGGTATGTGTACATTCGCTCTGGGAGACAACATGAGTGCCACAGTTGGAAGGAATTGGTACAAGTCTACGTTCTGACATCTGGGAATCGTGTTGATCTGAAACTGAGGAGGGAAAAAAACACAGACACAATTAATCGTCGATTCCCAGAAGACATGAGAAAATATGGGAAGTGGGGGGGAAGACAAAAACCTAGAACATAGTGGAAAACATGGGGAATCCTTTTATTTGTGTGTACTTATTTGTGTGTCCCAGGGCCCCTTCAATCACTGAATCATCCTGGTGGAGCTTCTGCTTGGAGACCTTTTTTGCAGATGCCCTGGCCACAGCGGGCGAGCCCGGAGGAGGGGGCGCCCGTCGGGTCGCGATGTGCGCCCGCGCCGTCCGTGCATGCCCAGGGGTGTGGTTTTCCCCCGACGGCGCCAGCGCGGATCGTCGATCCCCAAGAAAAGATGGGAAAATATTGCAATTCGGCGGGAAGGCAAAAGCCCAGAAAATCTGGGAAAATATGCGGAATCCTTTTATTTGTGCGTATTTACTTGTGTGTCCTGGGGCCCCTTCAACAGTGCCGTAGGTATGTGTGTCGTGTCGACGCGGCGGCGGCCCTGCCGTCAGCGTTCGAGGTTGAATGCCGCCAGAGGCCCAGAATCTCGGCACGGTCCAGATGGGTACGGAGAGAGTATCGGGGGTGGACAGACCTCCTACCCTGACACGTCGATTGTGGAATTGGCCGTGTTCGGTTCGCGAGAGGGCGGCGCGGCCGTCATGTTTGCGGGTCCAGGTCCGTCGGTTTCGGTCCCGGGCCGTTTTCATTAGGGGGAGGTGTCTTCAAGGGAGGTTTGTCCACCGCCGAAGGAAGGGGAGGCGGGGTCAATTACGCGCGCTATCGCGAACAATAATGGGCTCGCGCGGTTGCAATTGTCGCAGACGTTTTGTCAAGCCAGCAGGAGCAAGCCCCATCCAGCTGGACGTACATGTATTTGTCGTGACGATCGTCCTGCATTACTCTGCCATGGCCACCTCGTTATGCTGCACACCCGCTGCTTTCTTGGTTTTGTCATCGCCATATTGCTCCTCTTCCGCCATCACCATGTCCTTCCTCAAGTTGCGTCCTTGCTGGTCTGTCCCCTTGAAGAACAGCAGCAGGGTACTCTTACAGTTCTTCTGTGGAATGGAGCCTGCGGGATCCGCAGACCAGAGCAGAAGGAGGACGACCACAGAACCCGCGAATAAAAACGGACGAGGGAAGGCTGCTGCAGCAGGGAAACGGAGGGGGGGGCGGATGGCAGGAGCGGGGATAACTACAACGTTTTCAGGATCCTCAGAGTGTCGGGAGTGATCGTTCCTGATCGTTCCGGAATGCTCTCAGAGCGTCCAAGAGCGCGTTGAGAAGGCCACGGCGCCGGATACATCCCTCCAGATTCGCTGCATCTCAGAGGTCCCCGATGTCCAATCCAAGTCTGTCCCGATCATGCTCTAGTTCTCGGAGAAGTGGAGGATGGGCTGGAATCGCCCATCCATCGTCGCTATGGGGCTGGATAGCTCAGCCCTTCCAGGAGCGAGCGGACTTGTCATCGAGGGCCCTATCGCCGATCAATCGGCGAGGTGCCGCCGAGTCAAGATCGATGTCTCCCACCGCCGAGCTGGTTCCCGCCTGCACGGTCCAATTCGATCCGATCGACTCGAAGGGGAAAAACCACACAGACGCAATTTATCGACGATCCCCCAGAAAACATGGGAAAGTATGGGAAGTGGAAGGGGAGGCAAAAACCCCCAGAAAATATAGGAAAATATGGGGAATCCTTTTATTTGTGTGTATTTATTTGTGTGTCTCAGGGCCCTTTCAATTCTGGCCAGCCCGATCCGAGTCGAGTTCGGCTTCGACCTTCCAGGGGGCGACGACGACGACGCCGCCGCCGACGACGACGCTGACTCGGGTCAGAGTCCTCACTTGGCATCGCTCGGACGTGTGCATTTTTCCTGCGGCGAGGGCCATCGAGGAGCATCCTTGATCATTTGGCGAAAAAGCCACGCACGAAACCGAAAAAACAACAGGGAATGGACGTCCGAGAGATGGCCAGCTCAGGGATGTTTCTTGGGGTGCCTTCGGAGCTCTCTCGGGGCCCTGGGGGGGGGGGGGGGGGGGGGGCAGTTTGGGGGCCCCTATGGAGCCACCTGGGGGCCTCTCGGGAGGGGCTTCCCAGGGGCCTCTTGGGGGCAGTCTTGCTGCTGCGAGCCTCTCAGGGCCGAGGGCTCGGAAGGTCCGTTCGGGTTCCCCGTCTGGGCGCCCTCTTGGAGCCGTCTTGGGGGCCTCACTGGGCCGCCCTGGAGGCCTCCGGGGCAGTCCGGGGCCCTCGTGGGTCCTTCTGGGGCTCTCGTGGAGGCATCCTGGTGCCATCTTCGGGGCCTCTTGGGCCGTCTTGGAGCGTTGGGAAGCCGAAAGTGCGAGAACGCCCAAATCTGACAAAACCAAAAGGCAACCCAATAAAGTTGCCTGCTCTTGAAGGCTTGTCGGGGCGTCTTAGAGGCCTCTTGGGCCGTCTGGAGGCGAGTTATTTCGGCGTCTTGACTGCATCAACGTACTCCATCCTTGCACTGTTCGGGGTCTTGATCTTGTCTCCGCTGAATTGTCCCCGACCCGATCCGGCGCCTCGGTCCTTCTTGGGTGCCGGGAGGGCCTTTGGTTGGGCTTTTTCCTTCTGAGAAGCCCCCCCCTCGACTTCTTGGAGTGGCGCCCCAGTTGGCGCGACGTCAATCAGTAGGGAAACAAACACACAGACACAATTAATGGTCAACTCCCAGAAAATATTGCAAAATATGGGAAGTGGGGGGGAAGACGAAACTTCCAAATTCTTTACGCTTCGCGTATCCCCACCAGCCCATCTCACAGCAGCAACTCTTGCGAAGCATGCCGACAGTCGTGTTTTTCAGGCGTGTGTCCGCTTGGCCCCGCATATCTCCCCTGTTCCTCCTTCCTCCCGCCTCCTTGTACATCCTCCTTGTGGGGGGAGCGGGAGAAGGACGAGGCGGAGGAGGAGGGAGAGAAAGCGCTCCTCGTGGTTTGAGTCGTTTGGGGTTTCTCGTCCTGGTGTGAGTCGTTCGGGCCCTTCTTCCTGGTGTGAGTCGTTCGGGCTCTTCGTGGTGTGAGTCGTTCGGGCTCTTCGTCCTGGTGTGAGTCGTTCGGGCTTCTCGTGGTGTGAGTTGTTCGGGCCCCTCATCCTGGTGTGAGTCGTTCGGGCCCCTCCTCCTGGTGTGACTCGTTCGGGCTCCTCGTGGTGTGAGTCGTTCGGGGCCCGCGTCGTGGTGTGAGTCGTTCGGGCTCCTCGTGGTGTGAGTCGTTCGGGCGCCTCGTCCTGGTGTGAGTCGTTCGGGCCCCTCCTTGTGGTGTGAGTCGTTCGGGCTCTTCGTGGTGTGAGTCGTTCGGGCCCCTCGTCCTGGTGTGAGTCGTTCGGGCTCCTCGTGGGGCCTCTTGGGGGCCTCTTGGAGCCTCTTGGGGCCTCTTGGGGGCCTCTTGGGGGCCTCTGGGGAGCCTCTTGGGGGCCTCTTGGGGCCTCTTGAGGCCTCTTGGGGGCCTCTTGGGGGCCTCTTGGAGGCCTCTTGGGGCCGCTTGGGGGCCTCTGGGGGGCCTCTTGGAGGCCTCTTGGGAGCCTCCTGGGAGCCTCTTGGGGCCATCTTGGGGCCTCTTGCGACCTCCTCAGAAGCGCAAATGAGAGCTGCGCCCTGAGAAGGACAAAATGAGCCCAAAACCTTTGTAAAATCAATGATTTGCTATGAAGGAAGATGAGCGCGGCCCCCTCAGGACGCCAAAGTGGGGCCAAAACCGTAGTAAAATCAATGATTTCTGCTTCAAAGACGAGCAGAGGGGCCAAACTCCCCGCCCCCCTCGGGGCCAGAATCCTCGTGAGGGTCGTCGTTTTTTGGCCCTCCCAGGAGTCGAAAGAGGCCCCCCTGACCCCACCCCGGACTCCCTGTCCAGGTCCAGGGGGAGGGGGTAGGGGGAGGGGTAAACCCCTCCCCGAAGGGGAAGAAGGGGGGTTGAGGACAGAGCGGGCTCTCTAAACCACTCACGCCCAAAGGGCTGGTGGGATTATTGGAAAATATGGGGAATAGTTTTATCTGTGTGTATTTCTCTGTGCGTCCCTTGGCCCCTTCAGTCAAGTTCGACTCGGAGCTTGGACATCCGACTGTCGTGCGGGACGTCTGGGCGCCCCCAGGAAGCCCTCGGCGAGGCGCAGCTGGTGGAGAGCATCCCACGCCCAGAGAGCTTTCTTCAGCGCCGACCACGCCCGAAGACCTCGAACGCCGCCGCCGACACTCCTCGGGGAACTGACAGTGACGTGGCGTTCCGGTGGTCGCACGGGCAGTGCTGTGCATCTTGGAGAGGCCGATCGGATTCGACTCCGAGTCCTCGCCGATGCAGCTTGATCCGATGATCATTTCGATTCGATCCGACTTACCAGTTCGATGCTGATTGACTCCTCTTCCAGATCATTAAGCAGAATGCAACCCCTTAACCATCATAAGACAAATAATCCGTGTATTCATTTAGGTCCTCGATTTTCTGTGTTGGCCCCAGGCGCGTTGGTAGTCTCGTCAACTACATCTGCCTCACAACACCACCTATCCCGACCCCCTATCCCCAATGCTGATGCCCTCCCAACCGAGGTCCCCTCCCAAAACGGGTGCTCCTGCTGTCGATCCGAGGAGGGGGAGGGAGCCCACAGAGGCCGCGGACCGGGGAGCCGCTGGTCAGACTCGCGGACGGCAGGCTGCTGCTCTTCCACGCGGGCCTCCAGGCTCTCGAGCGCCCCGCTCCCCGCCCCTCTGTCCGTGTCGTCCTCTGCAGGGCAGAAGCACGAGTGGCACAACGAGGGCTGCGGGGTACGAGGTCTTCGGACGTTCTCGCGGCTTCTTCCACCTCCAGCTCTCGCCTTCCAGCCTCAAGCGCATGATCTCCAGCTTCACGGGCAGTGCCTGATCAGGCCTCGCTTTCGGACGCTCCGGCGCTCTGGCGCCGCACCCGCAGCACCTCATAGACGGTGCCCGTGTGCGGGCGTGCTGCGTCAGCACCGGCAACCTCGGGATGCCTTCCAGCACCTGCGCCTCGCCGAGGGTGTCGGGGGTGTTCAGGTCGTCCCAATTGGCCGCTAGAGGCCCGAGTCATGACCCAGAAACGGGGACAAACCCACGCTACGGGGGGACAGGGTTAGGGCCAGGACCCCCTCGCGCCGCGAAGAAAAGCACGACGGGCGGTCGTTGGCCTTCTTCGGTTGTCGGAAGCCCTCGCCGGGCCCGGGGGCCGCGAAAACAACGACTCGGGATATGATGCCCCGGTCCCCGGCGGGGGAAGGCCTCCCCGGGTAATCGTGGTGAAGAAATCATGATGTTTGGGGTGTGGGTTTCTTCGGTGCGTCCTCGTCGTTCTCCCTCGTCCCTCATCGGCCGCCTCTCTAAACCCCACCTGTGTCCGACCCGTTCCTCGTCCTCTTCCTTTTCCTCGTCCGAACTCCTCCACGTTCCTCCGTCTGCGCCAGCGTAGACACCGTGCCACGAGTCCCCATCGGGATCAAGTGGTTCAAGGGGTACACAATTTGATTTCAGAGAGCACAAATCGACGACACGACAACGATGTTAATAGAGCATATATGGTTCAACAACCCAGCAGTGCAATGTGTGGCGATGCCTTTGCCAGAACGCACGACAATCGTATGTCTCACTGCTGCGCGCCGCATCGCGACATCGATGTTCGTGATTTTGAGTGCACTGTCCAGCTGTCCGCCGCAAGTGTCGCCACAGAAGTAGTCCAGTAGGCTTGGTGGCAGGTGATCGAACCGATGATGACGCTGAGAGGACGCTGATAACGACGATAAAATGACAGGATGAAGAAGCGACGGAAACGATGGTTGGGAGTTGGCGGGCGATGAGGATGATTACTATGGTGAGGATGACAACGTTGGTGATGATGGCGTGCGATGACCACGGGTACGAATGTGGATGTGATGATCCGGATGATGACAAGTATGATGATCATGGTGGTGATGGTCGTCGTGGTCGGGGTAATCGTAATGCGATGATGATAGTGACGATGATTGAGATGATGATCCCGGTGTGCCTGATGATGACGATGATTGTGATGTTGATGGTGACTGTGGTGTTTGTGATGGTTATGGTGGTTATGATGCTGATGTTGCTGATGATGATGATGTCTACGAAGAAGAGGAGGAGGAGGAGGAGGAACAAGAGGAGAGCCATCACTTGTGACAGTTTTCGCCTTCACTTCTCGAGGAGCACGACTGGGGTTCAGAGGTGGTAGGGGTAGAGCTCACATGTGATTTGGCGGTTCTTCTTTTTCTACTCCATTCCTCGGTCTATCCGTCTGACTCCCGAACACCCGACAATGTGATGTTTGTCAGTGCGTGGTCCCAGATGTCTCGATCCTTTCCCCAGGGGTGGTTTCTCGTTAAAGATTCATTTCGATGGTCCAGGGGTCCACTGATGGGCCCCAGAGCCCGAAATGGAGGAAACTGCTTGGATTGAAAACGTCATATCCTCGGAGAGCGGGGTCTCTTTCTTTCTCTCGCTCGGTCGCTCGCTCTCTCTCGCGCTCACTCTCTACCTCTTGAGAGCAAGACGCGGCCCGAAGCACTGGACGGTGCTGGCGGGCGTGCACGGCGCGGCGGCGCTGCCGCGGCGGGAGCCGGACGCGGCGCGCCCCGCGACGCACCGTGGGGGAGGAGCAACGAGTAGGCGGGATTATTTTTTAATAAGGCAGCATAGAGGACCACTTCGTGAAATATTCACCTGCTCGTGATAAGTACGTATACTACACTCGAGAGCTGACAGGTCACTAGTGCCTCGCTGTCACGCCGCAGAGCGATTCGGCGGGAGCGTTGGTTAAGGGATGTGCTCGGGAGGATTCTGACCCTAGAGGGTTTCTTGTCTGAAGAGGGCGGTGGTGATATCCATGGCCCGTCCATGCATGAATTCCCCCAGCCTGCAGATCCCAGATTCCTTATGCAATGGTTCCTGATCCAATGCCCTCGCCGTAGCGACGCATGGATTAGTTCCAGGACCCGTTTGCGTACATGATCGGCGCGCTCGGTCGCCAAGTCGGGCGGTGGTGACATTTCTTTTTGCGTTTTTTACTCCCGATCCGTGGATTTGGCGCCCACGCGCCAGATCCACGGATCCCTATCCATGTTAGCGTGCCCCCGAAGCAGTGGGTACGGTTTCTGGGCACTGGGGGTCTGGGATGGGTTCGCATCGCAGGGCAGGCTGCCAGCCAAAAGCCTCGCCGGAGCAGCAGAACAATAATTTGAAGGTCGAGCAGGTCCACACGTTGCGATAGGGGAAGCGCCGCCCAAGCAGCGCCTGCTGCTTGGCGAAGCAAGCATGCTGCGAAAGTGGACGGGACGTCTGCGGACAGACTGCCTGGCCCAGACTGCCACGGCCTCCCCGTGTGCAGCAAAGGTGCAGAACCCCGGTGGATTTACAAGTTCTGGTGCGGATGGGTCGGCGGTGAGAGGTGCAGTCGTGTGTGCAATCGCCTTGGTTCTTCATGAATGTGTCCAGGGTGTGCTTTTTCGGTGGTTCTTTGACCGACTTCACTTCGGCGTGTTGGACATCACGGGTGTAGCGTTTGTGGTCTCCCGAAAGGAGACTAAGAACGATACACACAGCGAAGCAGGTTTTGATGCTGTTGCAACGCTTCTTTTTTTTGGGGGGGGGGGGGGCATGTGCAGATCAGTAGGCTGCATTGTTGTAAATGTCTATCTAAGTTGTCCTCAGTTCCTTCTCTTGGCGTGCAGTCCTCCCTAGAGGTCGTCGGGCCTCCGAGCCCGATGGCCGATGGCCCCTCCTGGGGACATCGGGCCTCCGGGTCTGTTTCGGGCCGGTGTCAGACCAGTGTTAGAGACTGTTGCTGGTGTGCTCTTAGCTCTGAGAGGGAAAACGGCGCCAGAGACGAAGAAGCGGGACCGAAGACAGCTGGGAAGACAAGGAAGAGCTTTCGGCCAGAAAGTAAAACACGCTCGAACAGTCATGATCCACAGCGACGGGCCAAAGCACGCTAAAGCAAACTGAGCTCAAAACGCGAACACTCCGTCGCGTTTTGTAGCGCTTGTAGCTTGTCAGCAGCCCAGGGTGCAACACGTCAAAACATTCATTTTAAGAGGTCGCAACTATTGCCGGGGGGGTGCGCGAACTACTGCACGGGCAACAACTATTGCATGTGAAAGCCCTACACATGTGCATCCGCGTGCAACTATAGCATCTAGCGCGCAGACCCCCTCCTCTGCCTTGACGGTATTGGGGGGCCCGCTCAGGGGGTGGGGGAAACATCGGGCTGGAGTCGCCGATACAGCGCCGATAGATCCGCGATGCCCCCCCTGACAGCACATCGGCATGTTGTTGGGAGGGGTCGGCTACATGCCCACATCGGCGATGCATCGCCGATTCCAGCTGCATGGTCCCCCCCTGAGCCTGCCCCTCTTCAGCCCTGACTGTCACGGGGTGGGGGTACGAAGAGGGCGGCAGGCAGGACGGGCTGGGAGGTCAGGGGCAGCGCTGGGCGGAGATCGCCTCAGGGTGGGCTCCGCCCCACCTCCTCTCTACCCCTTCCGCCTCCCTTCGCCCTCCAGCTCCCTCGACCTCCATCTCCCCCTCGGGCCGAGATCTCGGGCGCCGCGCTTGTTTCCAAAACCTTTGCACGGATCGGCGCCGAGCCTTCGCCCCGAGCCGGTCTCCCGAAGCCCCCGCGGGGGGCCTTGCGAGGCCCCCCCCCGGGAGGCCGAATACGGCCAAACAAAAGCCAACGTCGAGGTTCTCAAGCCGTGGGGTGTCCAAGCCTCTGAAGAGCTTTTGGGGGGCTCTGGAGAGCTTTTTGGGGGCCTCTGAAGAGCCTCGTGGGGCCTCTTAAGAGCCCGCTGGGGTCTCTGCAGAGCCTCTGAAGAGCGTCTTGTGGCCTCTGAAGAGCCTCTTGGGCCCCCTGAAGAGCTTCTGTGGGGGCCTCTGAAGAGCCAAACAAAATCCAAAGCCAAAGCGAGGGGCGGGGGCGGTGGCTCGGCGGTTCAAAGAGGAGGCCCTGAGGGAGGGGTCCCTGTTTGGACGAGACCCTCGGACAACGGAGGCCCAACCTGTGAGCCACTCCGTAGCATTTTCCCAGACGTCCTGCGATACGATCTGGCCCCAGGTCCAACAACGGCCCCCCCCACCACAGGCCGAAACCTGGGATAAGCGCCCAGACTGAAACAAGACCAACGTGTCGTCGGAAATCCAGGGTGTAGGGCCCCGTCCAGGGCCCCATCCTTGAGCCGCCGAAGGCGGGGGGGCGGGGGAGGAACACGCGCACCAATGGCACGCTGTCGTTGGAGGCCCGTCGGCGCGTGCCACTCGATCGTCGTTGCCCGGAGGCCCCCGTGCCTCTTCCACAGCATTGCGCAGGTGGGCGCCGCACGGCGGCGTGCCGCTCGTACAATCGCTGGGAGCGTGTCTCCTGCGCTGTCGCCCCCTCCTGGCCTTGGCGTGAGGCCCCTCCTTCTGCCTCCCCCCCGCTTTGTTAATTCAAGCTGTGCGAGTGGCCCGCTTAGCTTCGACCGGGAGAGGTGCGCTCTCGACCCGCGGATCCAAAAGTGTCTCTTTCGCTGTCCACGTTTCGCTCGTGGCTCGACCGAGGCGCGTTCACAACCGCATCCCAGAAGTCAGGCGATCGCAAGCATGGATCAAAGGGGGCGTGGATGAGCGACGGGGCCCGTTTCCCTTGGAAATATCGCGGGTTCCCGCCGCCGAGCGAGGCGGCACCCGCCGCGTTCTGGGGTGGGGCGCCTTCCCCGATCCATGGACTTGGCGGACGCGCGCCAGATCTGTGGATCGCTAGTCCATGCTGGCGCGCCCCCGAAGGAATTGGCCGTCAGCTTGGCATCGCTCGGGCGTGTGCATTTCTCCTTCGGCGAGGACCATCGAGGAGCATCCTTGATCATTTGGCGAAACAACCACGCACGAAACCGACAAAAGCACAGGGAATGGACGTCCGAGCGATGGCGAGTCAGGCAGGCGGCATTGTGACACCCGAAGACTCACTGAGACGCAAGGAAGGCAGGAGCACGGGCAGGTGGGCCACGGACCGACGCTGGTCTTGCAACAATTGCACCGACAACGTATTAACACAACGTGGATCTCCAAAACGGAGGCGTGGCCCCCAGGTTTCGGGTCATATTGTGGCTCTCTGGCAGCGGCGAAACGCAGCTGCTAGAAAGCCTCCCAAGGCCGGAGCACCGCCGAGATCCAACGAATTATTGAACGCCCCAGAACGTTCTCGGCGAGGGTGCAGCTGCTGGAGGGCATCCCGAGGCTGAGACACCGCAGCCACACCAACGAAAACGTTCGAAATCCTCAGACCTCGAAAAACCAGGCGGGGCTAGGACAAGGATAGGTCCGATCCAGAGCGTTCTGGAGCGCTCGTTCCGGAACGCTCTGAGAAAGCCGCGGCGCCCGATACATCCTCCAGCCGACGGGTCTCAGAAATTCTCAGTTTATCCTCACCCGAGCTAATCCTGGCCCTGGTTTTGCATTTTCCCTTTACACAGAAAAACGCCCGCAGTGTCTGCAAGAACACCTTGAGGGGCGGGGGGCACCGGGAGGCTTGGGCGGGCGGGCGCCGCCGCCGCCGTCGAGCGGGGGGGGCGCGGAGGAGGGGAGGCGGAGGAGGAGGGGAGGCCCGGGGGGGAAGGGGGGGCGGAGTGGGTGATCACGGGCCCCTAGACCGGCGACAGCAAAGCCGCTCCCGCAGTTAGTCCGTCGGGCAGGGTTTGTATGCATTGGCCTTAAGAGTGTACTGGAAAACAACGGGGGTGGAAGGGAGGCGCGGAGGGGGGAGGGGCGATGAGGGGCAGGGGAGGGCGAGGAGGGGGTGTAAGTATGCTCCCGTTGAGTTCGATTTGCTTGTACTTTGATGACTGGTTTTTGTTGAGGAGGGGGTATGGGGCGAGGGAGAGGAGGGGCGTGGGAGGGGGTCCCTGTAGTCCCTGCCTGATCGCGTAGCGATGTGCATCTGGATGAATTCGCCTGCACATGCCGGCGGAGCTTGCTCCCCTGGGCTTCGCGCAGCTCTGCGGAGAACTCGGGGCCAGAGTCCCAACTGGAGCCGTCTCGAGTGCTCGCGCGCTGCTGCTTCTCAGGAGGGGGAACAAAACACACAGGCACGATTATTCGTCGATCCCTAGGAAAACATGGGAAAACATGGGAAAGTGGGGGGGAAGACAAAAACCCAGAGAATATCTAGGAAATATGGGGAATCTTTGTATGTGTGGGTATGTCTTTGTGTGTCCCAGGGCCCCTTCAGCTTGGGAGGGCCTCCGGGGGGGGGGGAGCCGTCTCGAGTGCTCGGGCCCGTTCAGCGTTGGAGGGCCTCCGGGGGAGGGAGCCCGGGGGCCTAGGAGGGCGGGGCGCCCCGCCAGGCGCCGGCCGCCGCGGAGCCCGGGCCGCCCGCGGCCGAGCGCGGCGCCCCGCTCGGCGCGGCGTGCGCCGGCGACGCCGAGGACCAGGCGCAGAGGGTCGGTCGGTGGCCTGGAGACGGGGGTCCATGCAGGAGGGAAAGAACACACAGACACAATTAACTGTCGATCCCCCGGAAAATATGGGAAAAGCGGAGGGAAGTGGGGTCCAGAGGGTCGGGGGCCTTGATCGGGTATAGCCAGGAGCCCGGGTAAGGGGACCCGGTTAGTGGTGGGGCCCTGGGGCCCCTCAATCGGCCAGGTTCCCTAAACCAGGTTTGCCGTAACAGGTGTTTCTCGGGTGGTGACGGCAGTTCCGGTTAGTGGAAATGGGGCGGGGGGGTCCACTAAGCCCAGTTCTGCCAACGCCCGACTTGAGACGGGGGTCCATGCAAACGGGGGTCAGCCAGAGCGCCCGATCTTGCAGGATCTTGCAGGGCCAGGGTCGCACCGAGACGGGTCCGGGTGCAGGGTCCTGCAGGATCCTGCAGGATGCTTCGCACTGACCCGGGCTTGGGTGCAGGATCTTGCAGGCTCTTGCAGGATTCTGCAAGGCCCGACTGACCCGGGTCAGGATTGACCCAGGTCAGAAGATCCCCGAGCGCAGAGGGGTCGGGTGTTGCTGGAAGGACCCCTGGCCCAAGGTCCCCCCAGGATTTCCAAGGAGGCCCCCCCACGGCCTCCAGAGAACCCCTCAGGAGGCCCAGTTGGCCCCAGGGGGTTCGAAATGGAGCGGCAAGCTGGGGGCACCTTGGGCCAGGGGCACCGTTCGCAGCCCCCGAAAGAGGAGTGGCGGGAAGGGGTAGGGCTTCTTAGAAGCCTGATCTATAGATGCAGGGCCAGCGCCTTCAGGCAGCCTCCTCCTGAGAAGCCCCCCCCTCCTCCTCCTGCCACCTTGTGCGCACCGCCAGAGAGGAAATGAAACCTTGATCTGCGACGCATGCTTGCGTCCTGAGAATACCTGGACCCGCTCAAGTGTCTCTTAGTGTTCGACTTCCGGAGGCCCTTTTTGACCACGTAGGAACATCTGGGGCCCTCTGGCGAACCAGATCAAGAGAGGCGCACGAGGTCGAACAGCGCACGGGGGATGGGCGTCTGAGCGATGGCGAGATCGGCGACCACAAAGGGTGTGGATACGCTTGGGTGCGGTTGGCGATCTGTGTTGTACGGGCTTGGGGGGCACCACGTTGCCCTCGTCGGGCCTCCTCGGTGCGCGGCGGAGAATGTTGTCGAGGTCCTCGCCCGCCCCCCCAGGGTGCGGGTTGCAAACCACTGCAAGCCACGAGCCCTTTGCAAGCCGCATTCTTTGCAACCGTGCTCTTCTGCGAACCGCGTTCTTTGCCGAACTTCGAGCCTCGAGGAGCGTCGGGGGATGAGTGTATGCCACTGTTGCCTGTGCTCGAGGGCTCTCGTCGCCACGGCAAGGTGAGCCTCGACCTGAACAGGTCAGGACGCACCCCTGGGAGGGGTCCGTGGAGCAGCGGTCTCGGTCCCTCTGCTCCCAGGAGGGGAAAGCACACAGGCACAATGAGTCGTCGATTCCCCAGAAAGTATGGGAAAATATGGGAAGTGGGGGGGGGAAGACAAAGACCCAGAAAAAGTATGGGAAAGCATGGGGAATCCTTGTGTTTGTGTGTACTTTTTGATGGAGGTCGCCCCAGACGGGGGTGTCGAAAATGGCTCGTCTGGGAGGTTTGTGACCCCCCCCCTTTATTATAAAAGTTGGAGTATTTGTTTGTGTGTCCTGGGGCCCCTTCGTGCTCCCCCAGGTGGAAGCTCGAGGGCCCCTCGGGGGGCCCTTCCTTCGCACTTTTTTGCCGCGGGCCCCGGGGGCCGGAGGCTCGATCTCCTCGAGCCCTGGCGGCTCGAGGCCCTCTGCCGAAGAAGCACAACAAACACAACGCTCGTGGGGCTCGGCGCGGGCTTCTCTCGGCTCGGCGCGGGCGTGTCCCCCCTCGCCGCTCGCACGGGGGAGGGAGGGAGGGGGGAGGGTCGAGCCTCGAGCCCTGGCGGCTCGAGGCTCTCTGTCGCAGAAGCACAACAAACACAACGCTCGCGGGGCCCCGCGCGGGCTTTTCTCTTGGAGCGGCGCGGGCGTCCCCCCCTCGCCGCTCGCACGGGGGAGGGGGGGAGGGGGGAAGGCCTCCCGCTCAGTGCGTGCGGGGTTCCCCAGTGGAGCACGTGCAGGCCTCTTGAGCGGACGATCGGCCAGGAGTCCTTGCCTTTGGTGCTTCACCAGAGCGTCGGCACCCAGCTTTCCTCGGCGCGGACGTTCCTCCCCCTGTTCCCCCCTCCCCCCGTCCCTCTGCGTGGCAACTCTGAGGTCAGTGTGTGGGTGCGGTTCCCCAGTGGAACACGTGCAGGCCTCTGAGCTGACGATCGGCCAGGAGTCCCTATCTTTGGTGCTTCACCAGAGCGTCGGCACCCAGCTGCGCCCGCACTCCATCCAGACGGATAGGAGTGGCAAGCGCGGGCCATGGGCGTCGCGCCAGTGGTCCAGGAAGTGGGTCTTCAGCGGCAAGATTCGCAAGGGGGCCGAGGGGACCGAGGGGACAGAGGCGAGACGGATTTTACATTGATTTCTTGTGTGGCGGATTGCAAATGGATTCCCTTGGTCGCGGATTGCAGGGGAATTCTCTTTGTGGCGGAGTATAAAGTTTGATATTTTGTTTGGCGGGATACAGAATTATTCCCGTTGTGGCGGATTGCACATGTATTCCCTCTGTGGCGGGCTACACATTGATCTCTGTTGTGGCAGGTTACACATTGATTCCCTTTTCCGGCGGATTACACATGAATTCCCGTTGTGGCGGTTTCCACACCGATTTCCTTTGCGGTTGGTTACAATGCTCTTTGTGGCGGATTACACAAGGATTCCCTGCGTGGCGGATTACACAAGGATATCTTGTGTGGCAGATTTCAAATTGATTCCCGTTGTGGCAAATTGCAACAGGATTCCCTCTATGGCGGACTACACATTGATTTCTTTCGTGGCGGATTGCAAACTGAACTAAGTTCTGTTGTTGCGGATTTCATTGTGATTCCGACTCATCTTGTGGAGGATTACGACTGGATTCTTTCTGTGGCGGATTACAGATGGATTCCCTTGTGTCGGATCACAACGAAAAAAGATCGAGAACGGACACCACCGTTCTGCTGGAGTGTTGGTGCGGATTTTACGCAGCACGTCACGCCTCACACGTCTTCGCAGCTGTGCGCCCCACGGGGGCGCCCTCGCGCGCCCGCCGCCCCCCTCGAGACCAGCCCAGCACCGCGTGCCGAGGAAGAGCAAGACGGCATAATCGAGGAAGAGCAACACGGCATAATCGTAGCCTTCCGGAGCTCCTCGAGGAAAATTCCTGGATGGTCGGCGCCGCCGGACCTCCCTCGCTGGCGCGCGAGGCTCGCCATGGGGGCTCCGGCGCCGATCCAAGAGATCCGCGCAGAGCTCTGAGCTTTGCTGTTTGTGCCGGCCTCTGCTCCCGTGGCGTGGGGCGGAGCGCAGCTCGCGGGGAAGGGGGCGTGGGCTCCGCCGCATGGTTGCCGACATGCAGAGGGCTCGGGCTTAGAAAATCGGGGGCCACATGCGAATCCTTGTTCCTTATTAGAATATACCCCCACCTACCTCGCATTCCGGCCGATAGCGGCCCAATCCGGGACTTCCCATCCGGACTGTAAAAAATCAATACAAAGTGGCCGTTTTTCTTCTCAACATCGTCTTTCTTACCGTCGACGATGCGACAAGCGTGGCAGGAATGGGACGCGGCGCACATCGCGCGCGGCAGTTAATCTGGGCCCGCCCATCCTGAGTGTAAAAAATCAATACAAAGTCTTCGTTGTTTCATCTCAGCATGGCCTGCCTCGTCGCCGACGGTGCGAAATATGTGGCAGCAGTGGGACGCGGCGCACAAATGGGACGCGGCGCACATCGCGCGCGGCCGTCGATCCGGGCCCGCCCATCCTGACTGTTAAAAATCAGTACAAAGTCTCCGTTTTTTTCATCTCAGCATGGCCTGCCTTGTCGCCGACGGTGCGAAATATGTGGCAGGAATGGGACGCGGCGCGCATCGCGCGCGGACGTCCATGCGGGCTGCGGGCCCTCCCATCCTGATTGTAAAAAACTATACAGAGTTGCCGTTTTTCCTTTCATCATGGCCTGTTTTGTCATCGACGATGGGAAAGGTGTGGCAGGAATGGGGCGCGGCGCACATCGCGCGCGGACTTCTGGGGCAACTCCAAGGCGGGAGGGGCCACCTTACTTGTCAGAAGCAATGCCATGCTGATTTTCGCTTGCCCACATAGCTGTTCTTGTCGTCCACCCCGCAGAAGTGCATGGCAAGAATTGGGCGCGGCAACCCCCCCCCCGCTCGAAGTGAATGAAATGACCTTCTCGCTTGGGCGCCGAGCGAAATTTTCTCAAAGTTGCGCTCCCGCTTTGGCTCGGCGAACGTTTTTAGATCGCCAATTCATTGGGTGCCAGGGCGTTCCAGGAGGCCCTGGGGTGACGAATGCCTGGGAGGTTTTTGCTAGTTCAGGCTCTTGGAGGGCCTCCTGAGTCTCCCCGCGGTTTCTTGGCGCTACGGCCGTCTGGAGGCCATCTTGGGCGTCTTGGAACGATCTTTCGGCGACTCAGGGCCATTACTTCTACTACGACCTACTACTACTACTACTACTACTACTACTACTACTACTACTACTACTACTACTACTACTACTACTACTACTACTACTACTACTACTACTACTACTACTACTACTACTACTACTACTACTACTACTACTACTACTACTACTACTACTACTACTACTACTACTACTCTACTACTACTACTACTACTACTACTACCTACTACTACTACTACTACTACTACTACTACTACTACTACTACTACTACTACTACTACTACTACTACTACTACTACTACTACTACTACTACTACTACTACTACTACTACTACTACTACTACTACTACTACGACGACTACTATTACTACTACTGTTACTACTACTTCTACTATTACTACTACTACTATTACTACTACTACTACTACTAATACTACTACTACTACTACGACTACGACTAGTACTACGACGCACTACTACTGCTACTACGACTACTACTACTACTACTACTACTACCACTACGACTACGACTACGACTACTACTATTATTTCTTTTTCTACTACTACTACTACTACTACTACCACCACTACGACTACTATTATGATTACTACTACGACTACTACTACTCCTATTATCACTACTACTACCACTACTACTACTACTACTACTACTACTACTACTACTACTACTACTACTACTACTACTACGACTATTACTACTACTAATAATAATACTACTACTACTACCACTACCACTACCACTACCACTACCACTACCACTACCACTACCACTACCACTACCACTACCACTACCACTGCCACTGCCACTACCACTACCACTACCACTACCACTACCACTACCACTACGCGCCAGCACCCGGTTGCGCCAGCATTGTTTCTTATGTTGTGGGAGGGCCGAACGTGTCCGTTGTTCCTTTCAACATGGCCAGTCTTGTCGTCGACGTTGCGAAATTCGTGGCGGGAATGGGACGCGGCGCACATCCCGCGCGGACGTTAATGCGGTGTCCTAGGGTATCCTCCACTCGCACTGAAATGCCCGCGCAACCCCCAGTTGTGCCATCACTGTTTCTTATGTCGTGGGAGGGCGGGTGGGAATGATCATGCCATGCTTGACTCGCTCGAGCTGGCTAGCTTGACCCTACCCCTACCCTTACCAGCCTCGAACGTATCCCTATCCCTAAGATTGACACACCAAAAGGCGATGACAGTCTTAGCGATTCGCCCTAAAAAATAAGGGAGTCCCTAAGATTGGCATCGTGTTCCAGGCTGGTAGTACCCCCAACGATTTCTGAGGGGGAGGGTGGGGTTCGCATGTGGCCCCCTAAGAAACGGTGATCTGACCGATGGCATCGCGGCCCTCGGCCGTGGACGGCCCCGCCCGGGAGCATCCGCGGCAGGACCCACCGCCCTCAGGGCAATTGTTTTGCAGCTTCCCGGAGCTGTTGCGCCAGCTTCGAGTCACGGAGCACGCCAAGGGGACGAACAGCCATGCAGTCAGACAGTACATCACGGAAGAGTTCGCTTGTTTTGGATTGAAGTTATATCGGTGGATAGTGCCCGTTAGCGCTCAATAGCGCCAAACAGCGCCCAACAGTTCGGAATAGCGTTCAAAGAGCACCCAATAGCGACCAAGAACGCCCGAGAACGCCCTGTAGCGTCTTGTGAGGGAGATGAAGCCTGTCAGCTTTTTCGCGCGACTTGGTGCGCTATTGGGCGCCGTGGGGACGACGAAGAGCTTCCGTGAGCTGTTTTCTAAATGCAGGGGCAGTGGGACACAAGGCCACGAAAACAACTGCTGTCAAGGAGTCGCAAACGTGGATCTCAGTTTGCTTCCCCCTCCCCTCCCCCCCGCTCCCCCCCCTCCTCCCCTTGGGCCCTTGGGCCCTTGCGCTTCCGCAGCTGAGCGGTAGCACGCGTGAGCGCGCAGCGGTCGCCTTGGGGGCCTCGTGGGCCATCTTGCGGTACAGTGAGCGGCTTGAATAAGGAACACTTACTTTTCAAAAGGGGCTCGGTCGTTCCTTAGGCTTGCATGCGTTATTTACAGTCCCTTATGCGTTATGTATTAATCGATCGTTCCTTATGCGTTGTTCCTTGGGATAAACCAAAGGGGCTTCATTCCTGATGTATCGTTCCTTAGGTCAGGGCGATGACTGTAGGTGCGCCTCTCGTGTCCAACGGCGGTAATGCCAGGGCGGGCGCTGAAGGCTGAGAGTGCCGCCCGTGGCCCGGAGTCGGCCTGCCCTTTTCCTTCACCTCCTCGTTCTCTTCCTCTTTCTCCTCCTCCTCCTCCTCTCTCTTCTCCTCCTCCCTCCTCCACTTCCTTCTTTCCCTCGTCCTCTCCTCCTCCTCTCCTCCTCCTCTCCTCCTCCCCTCTCTCCTCCTCCTCTCCTCCTCCTCCCTCCTCCACTTCCTTCTCTCCCTCGTCCTCTTCCTCCTCTGCCTCCTTCTCCTCTCCTCTCCTCTCCTCTCCCTCCTCCTCCTCCTCCTCTTCCTCCTCATCCTCCTCCTTTTACCTTCCTTTCTCCTCCTCCTCCTCCTCCTCCTCCTCCTGCTCCTCCTCATCGTTGAACGGTCCAGTGTTTCTGAAACGGCCGCTCGGTCAATTGTGAACGATCCCCGCGGTGTCGGGAGTTCACGCCAGGGAAGACACGACGCGGACTTGACGTAGGGTATGCTCGGAGAGACCCGGAGTCATCATCGACTGATCTTGGCCCGAAACGGCGAGAATCCATGCAGCAGTCAAACACCAGTGTGGAACCAATGTTTTGTGCCTCCTCAGGCCGTCTTGGGGGTCATCTTGACAGCCTCTTGAGGCGTCTTGGGGGCCTCTTGGGCAGCACGCGTGACCGTGAGAGCCGACGCCACGAAACAATTGCGAAGTCGTGGCAGAAACCCGACTGGAGCCATCGACCCCATCTTTCTGCGTCATTTTTCGAGCCGTATCGGTCAGTGAGGGTCCCTGGGGCCCGAAGCAGTGGAGACGACAGGACCACACGCCTGCCCGCCCGACTGCTTCGTCCCGCCGGCCCTGGCCTTCCGCCTGCACTTTCGCCGCGGTCTGCTCCCGCGCGACGCCTTCTGTACACATCCACTGCTCACCGGACAGGCCCATCCTGAGCCCAGGAGCTACGTATACGCCCTCCGGACCGAGTCAGGAGGGCGTGGCGTATGCACGGCTGCTGGGTTCAGGATGAGCTTGGCCAGGCAGCAGTGGACATCTCCAGATTTCGTCGTGGACATCTATAGCTTTCGTCGCCCTGTGCTCGCTTGGCATCGCTCGGACGTGTGCAGTTTTTCCTCGGCGAGGACCACCGAGGAGCATCCTTGATCATTTGGCGAAACAACCACGCACGAAACCGAACAAAACACAAAAAAATGGACGTCCGATCGATGGCCAGCTGGTGTCGCTTGCCCTTTCCTCCCCCTGTGCCGCCGCGCAGCGCCGACTGCCGGGCGCCAGCGGCAGAGCGCCGGGTCTTCGGGGCAGCGCGCGGCGGCCGCCTCTTTAGATGGTCGGCGGCGGACTCCAAGCCCGACTCAGAGGAGGAAAAAGTATACCCATACTCAGGAGGGGGGGAAAAAACACAGGCACAATTAATTGTGCACTCCCAGGAAAATACGGGAAAATATGGGAAGTGGGGGGGAAGACGAAAACCAAGAAACTACAAGAAAATATGGGGGATTCTTTTACTTGTGTGTATTTATTTGTGTGTCCCAGGGCCCCTTCACATACCACTACCTTTCGCCCGTCTTCTCCCTTTTGAGTCTGCTGGGAGGACCTCGTCGACGTCGCTGGGTTCGCCTCGAAATCCTGGTCAGAACGCACCCCAGGAGAGGTGCTTGGGGTAGCTGTATCAGTACCTGTTGGTTTCCCCACCTACCCTTGCCGTTCAAAGATGCAGGCAGCTCGATGGGCGTCGGGGGTAGGGTTCGGAATTCGTCGAACACGTGGCGAATTCGTTCCGACCCACCTCATCTCCTCCCATCGGTTCAGGAGAACCGATGGCTGGTGGGCAAAGGGTCCGGATGTCTTCGCCTGGCTGACATCCCCTCTAGGAGCTCCACGCCGGATGCGCGGATCTGCGCTGGGCTCCCCCGGCTGCGCCTCTTTCGGGGGTGGACAGAGCCCCCAACAGTGACACGTCGATTAGTGAATTGTCCGTTTTCGGTTTTCGAGAGGGCGCCGTGGCCGTTCTTTTCCAGGCTGGCGCCCGCCAGGGTTTGGGCCTCGGGTCGTTTTCACGAAGCCACGTTTTGCTAAAGGGGGGGTCTGTCCATCCCCGACTCTTGCACCCCGCGCGCTTCGCCTACCGGGGCCCGGCCCCAAGCCCCCCCGATCGGGTCGGACGAAAGGGGGGGATTGGGAAAGGGGGGGGTACGAAATTTGCTGCATGCAGCTGGTTTCGGCCTCACCGAGGGGCCCATTCCTCGATACATAGCCGCCTCCGGCGCCGGAAAAATCAGCTACGTGAGCTGATTCTCAAACCCCTCCTTTGCTATCCCCCCCATTTGCCCGACCCGACCCGAGCAGGCGGCCGCCGCCGCCGGGGCGGGGCCTCGCGCGGACGGCACCACGGCCGAGGGCGACCTGCTGGCCGCGGCGTGCCTCGGGGACGCCGAGGAGCGCGCGCCGGCCCCCCCGCGCGCACCTTTTGGCTACGCAGCCGCCGCCGTCGTCGCCGTCGCCGTCGCCGTCGCCGTCGCCGTCGCCGTCGTCGTCGCCGTCGCCGTCGTCGTCGTCGTCGCCGTCGCCGTCGCCATCGCCGTCGCCGTCGCCGTCGCCGTCGCCGTCGCCGTCGCGGGCGTCGTCGGCGTCGGCGTTGTCGTCGTCGTCGTCATCGGCGCCCGCCCCTCGCACACGCTCAGGTGTCAGCTCGTGTAGTACAGTTCGAAGGATTCCGCCCGTCTTGGGTAGGTAAATGCGTATCGGCAACTGGCGCCAAACAGCACCCAACAGCACCCAGTTGCACCGAATAGCGCTCAATAGCAGCCAAAGCGCGAAACAGCGGTATCAGAGGGACATCAAGTGTGTAAGTGTTTGTTCGCGCGATCGTGCGCGCTATTGAGCGCCATAGGGGCGACCAAATGCATTCGTGAGTTGCTGTCAAATGTGATGCGCCGTCGTCGTCATCGTCGTCGTCGTCATCCCCGTCAGTCGTCATCTGTCGTCCATCGTCTGTCTTCATTGTCCGCCGTCGGCGTCGGCGTCGTCGTCATCGTCGTTGCCGTCGTTGTCGTTGTCGTCGTCGTCGTCGGCGGCGCCGTCTTCGTCGACGTCGTCGTTGTCGCGGTCGTCGGCGTCGCAATCGTCGTCGTTATTGTCGGCGTCTTTTTCGTCGCAGTCGTCGGCGTCGCGGTCGTCGCCGGGGAATGAGTAGGAGGTGGTCGGAGGTCGGAACGCCTCACTGTGTTTCCGGGAGGCGGGTTTCCCCCGCCACGCCAGCCTCATCCTCGATCCTCGATCCAGCTCCCCCGGGTCTGTTTCCTCCTCCCCCGTTTCCTCCTCCCCCCGCCCGCCGCATCTCTTGTGCTGGTCCTTGACTTCGCCCCCCTTCTCCTTCTCCTGGTCCTCCGTCCGCTTCGTCGTCACCACAGGGCGGAGGCCGCAGGCACCAGGTTCGTTCGCGGCAACGGCAGCGACTACCAGATGATCGTTGTGGCAGAGACCCACGTGGTGGCCAGCGACACAGCCAAGCACAAAGGAGGCTTGGCAGCAAACGGCTAGAAGTTAGCGGTGATACCAGCCATCCCCACCAACGAGTCGTACAAGGGCATCGACGGCGGCGAGTGGATGCTCACGGGGCGCGACGTTGCCGCGGCGTCGTTCGAGGCCCACCGCGCCTTCTACCTCATGCAGCACGGCAAACAGCTGTTCGTCGGACTCTCGCCTTACATCCTCCACAGGACCCTGGGCAACATAGTGGTCATCACGGCCTACCTGCGGCAAGGCTTCAGAGACCAAGGTGCACATCGCGACATCCTGGTCTCGATCGCGGCGTTCCTCGACAGATTCGAAACCCCTGGATCGTCTTAGGCGACTGGAACTACGAGCCCGCTAGGTGGGGCAACAAACATTGGATCCTACGCTTGGGCGGGGCCATCGCTATCCCGAAGGGTTGCCGCGCTACGTGCGGTAAGGGGAAAGGCTATGTTTACGACCGTGGTATCGCCAGGGCCGGCGTGGCGCGCAGCATAATCATGGAGGCATATCACTATGTCCCGTGGAAGACGCATTGCGGCATCGAGATCACGGTAAGCATCTGTCACGCTTGGCCATACAGTTGCATCAATATCCCGAGCGCGTTACGGACAATTGGCAGGCCGAAGCGCGTCGCGGCCCACAATATCAAGAGGTCCAAGGCAAGGCCCAGGAACATGAAGAGCCGCAAGGAACAGCTACCTCAGCACCTCCAGTGTGGTGAGTTCGACCGCATTCACACGGGTGGTACCGAAAGGGAACCCAAGAAGCAGCATGGTTAATTCACGGAGGATCAGTGGCACATGGCCGCGGAGGCATTCAGCAGTTACCCCGCGTTCAGAGGGAAATCAGCACGCCTCCCAGCAGGGACGGGGGCAAATGGTACACAACATACGACAAGTGCAAGCGGCCATCGTCGACAACAACCACGATCTGTGGGCCACGGCGAAAGGGATCGCCGGCTCAAGGCCCACGACACCCGTGCGAGAAATTCCAACAGTACGTGGACAGGGCCCTCAGGTTCCAAGTTCGTAAGAAGACACTTAAAATTTCACCCGGCAGGCCACACCTCAAGGACCCAGAGGGTCCGTAGTGGCAGGATGTTGTTTCCCTCCTGATCTGATACGCCGCGTTGGCCAACAACGGGAAGGACGAGAATGCGCAGAAGAAGTGCACGCGCCGCCTCATCAGCAATGTTGATCAGGTCGTCAATTGCCATAACAAAACTAACCACTTCGCGTCCACGACCGACACCAGGGAGGTCGATGGGGGGAAACCCAAAAAGATGGCCCTGGTGTTCTGCGACCTCGAGGACGTCGTGCTTCTTATGTGCGACGACGGAGGCGCGGGCGCAAAAGGCAAAGGCACATTCCAGGAAGTCCTACGTCGTGTGGGCCAGCGGGCGTGGCAGCAGGCTCTTGGTAAGTTACACCAAGGGGCTCGAGGCCTTGAGGTTCGCCAAGGACCCTCAAGGCCCCAGCCTATATGCCCAGCAAATCGGCATCGCGACGGGTAGCCCCACCAACATGGTGAGTGGCTGAGTGATATCGAAGAACCATGGAGTCGCATCTGGACGGCGCCAAGCTGCAACGTGGACGCCTTCTACCAGCCCTACGCGGAGGTCCACATGCTTTCCCGCAAGGATCTTCTACTCGAGATGGGGGATGGCCAGAGCAAGGCGGCGGCGCGCACAGCCAACCCCCAGAAAGCCAGATGGGGTGGACAACGTCGGGCCCATTGATGTTCAGAGGCTACCAGACGGCGGCGTAGTTGGGCTGGCAGACTTGCACCACGCGGTCGAGACCCACGGGCTTTGTCCTCAGGAGGCCCACGCCGTCATCGGCGCAGTAGCCCCAAAGTCTGGCGGAGGAATGGGAGCACATTGGGCGCTGCCGACCTTGCCCGGGGACTGGAGCGAAATCTGCACCCCCGTCACCGACCTGCGGGCCAGAGACTTGGGCGAGTTCTGGGACAGAGCCATCAAAGGCTCAAGCGCGCTCATGCCGCGCTGGCGCAGGCGTCGCTCGACTAGACGGCGGCCCGGGTCGGCGTCGCCAGCGCCGCGCTCCTGATGGGCGCCGAGAAGGTCTACGACAGCGCCAACCGGAAGAAGCTCCTCATCGTGTTTGTCGGGCGGGGCTCCCCCGCGGCGCTCGTCGCGCTCGAGGTGGGGCTCCTCCGCGTCCCGAGGCACCTCCTCCTCGGGCGCAGGTGTGTCAGCGCGAGGCGGCGAGTTCGCGATGGCATGCCTCGGCCGCGTCCCTTCTAGGGCCCACCATCGCAACAGCTACGCGGCTCGCAGGGCCCCGGGGACTTCGCAAGGGGCAGTCGGGGGTGGCGAATGACCTCCATGACGACGCTGAGGCGGCGGCGGGTGCCCCTGCAGACGATCGTCGCGGCGTCCAGCTCCAGAATCGCCCACTCCGTCCATGCCGCCCCCGAGAAGCAGGGCGACCGCGCGAAGGTGGCCCACCGCGGCGCCGCCCGCGGCTACGACGCGGACGCGGCCAAGCGAGGGGTCGTCACCGAGGCAGAGCAGCGAGCCAGAACGTCCACTGCAGGGACGGGGCCAGATCATCGGCAAGACCCGGAAGCACGACTCGCTAGTAAAGATTGCGCTGTGCTTGTGGGCGACCTGATCGCGACCTCGGGGCGCTCGCGAACATCAGGTCGCGGGCCTGGCGCCGTCGTCGACCCTCCAGATCCGCGGGCAGGCAGCAAGGGTGATTTCCGGCAAGGCACCCGGCAGGCACCTCGCCGCGTCGCTCGCGGCGACGGTGGGCGACGAAGACCCCGCGACCAAGATTCTCAGATCGCCCCAGAGCGGCCCTGGCATTGGTTTGACCGTCCGCAGCGCGACCTCAGGATCACACACATGCGCGGCGGAGGATCTACTTGAGGACAGTTGACCTCGGCGACAGGAGGTGGTCCATGGCCGCAGGGCCCGGCAGCGCTGCGCTGGCCGCGCGGACGGGCTCGGAACGGCAGCGCCCGCTGCCTTCCGACTGGCCCCGGCAGCCGGTGCAGGCCGATTGGGGGCGAGCTGGCGCGGCTCCTCCCCCGTCTTCGCATGGGCGGCTGGGGGGTCGCGCGTTTGTCGGCCCCGCTGAGTTTGTCCGCGAGTTCGTCGGCGCCATCCAAAGCCGCGCGCGGGCGGGCGCGGCCGGGCCCTGCATCTACGGGGAGTTCCTCGACAGGGGCGGCTCCGACGCGACCGCCACCAATGTCGAGGTGGCCAGTCTCATGCGACGTGGCCTCCGCGTGGCCGCTGGCCGTCAGTGGCCGGGGCCCAGGCTCGCTGGCGCGGCCAACCAGGTCGGCGCCGCGTGCCAAGCGCGCGAAACCGCGGAGCAGACGCCCGTGCATCGCGTCTGGCTCTTCCCGTGCAACGAGGGCCACGAGGGCAACGCGGATTCGGGCTCCGCGACGCCATCCGCGCTTGCCATCGCGGAGTTCCAGCCTGCCTCCCGGCTGCGGGGAGTCGCCTCGAAAGCGCGCGCCCTGGCTTTGCTGCTAGGAGATGGAGTGGTGGGCGGAGATGGAGTGGCGCGGCCTACGGCCCGGCAGGCCAGTTGAGACCCGACACCCGGCGCCAGCGCGCAGGGGCGGCAGTCGTTGCCCCCCGGCGCCAGCGGGGCAGACGGACAGCCCGGCGCCGCGCGCTCGCCCCGCGAGCCGGGCGCTCGGCATTCGCCCCCGCCCTGGGGTCATAGCAGGGCGGGCTCAGGACCCCGAGTGCGCGCGCCCAAAAATCGCTCGCGCCCTAGCCCCCCCCCCGCGCGTCAAGACGCGTGCCGAGGGCGCGCGCGGAGCGATTGTTCAGCGCGCGGCGCGCGCCCTCGTGCTTAAGAAACCATACGTCTCATTTGCATTGTTGTCTTCAGTACCTCCGCCGCGACCCTGGGCGCCCGCTACGCAGCCCCCGCGGACTGTCGCCGTTGGCGCGAGGGGCTTGCGTCGCGGGTCCGAGAGTTCAATATATTTGGGCGCTGGGCATGGCGCCCGCGACCGATCCGGTTCGCGGGCGTCTTCCCCGGCGCGACCGCCGCCAGTCCATCTCCCGAGGTCTTGCGCCCGCAGACGCGGGTCCTACGACGCCCGCTAAATTTGGCGCCGCGCCCGCAATGGCTTCCAAAGTGGCGCCCAAAAATGCGCATGGAGTTGCGCTGTGCCCAGACGTGGTTTGGATGCGAGGGCGTTCCGCACTTCGCGCCCGCGCGCATGCGGGGCGCATTTTTGGGCCCCGAGCTTTTGGGGCATTTGGGGGCGCGTGCGCGGGGCGCGCGGCCGGCCAATTCAGGCGCCCAGGGCGCCGCGCGGGCTCCGACTTGGGCTCGAAGGGGGCCCCATTCTGGGCGAGTGCCCAGGCGTCCGACCATTGGGTTGCCAGGGCCCCGCGTCGGCGCCGCGCCGTGACGCGTTGTGCCGGCGCCGCGTCGCAGAGGTTTCGCGTCGCAAAGTTGGAGACCAAAAGGCCCTCGGAGGAGGCATTGGCGGCGCCGGGCAATCGAGAGATGGAGACCCAGGGCATCCGGCAAACAAGAGAAGGGACCCATCGGGCATCTGCGAGAAGAGAGGGTGCAATCGCGAAGCGCACCGCGCGCGAATCAGTTGGGGCGCATTTCGGGCATCGCGTTGGGTGCCGAAGCTGTCGTGACCACCCCCGCGGTGGCTTGACTGTCGGACGCGCGCTGTCTGTCACGGACCACCTCCCACTCTACGACGGGTGGGTGACTGGCCATCAACCCCGCCCTCAGTCGGGGGCCAACCCCGACCTGGGCAGGGAACGCAGACTTCGACAGTGCGGCGCGCAGAGCAGATCGAGATCCTGTGGATACCTTCGCAAGGCGAGGACCAGGCAGGCATTGGCGCTTGCGGGGGTCACGCCGCCCACTGGCCTTCGAGGTAGCCAGCGCACCCCATGTAGACGCAGAGCCCTCGAGGCATCGGCTGGCCCCGCCGCCGCAGACCCGCGGGTCTGCGAGAGACCATCGTCGGCCATGCCTGGGGGGCCTAACAGGCCCTGGCGGGCTTTCGGGACCACTCAGCTGACCGCGAGACCATCGTCGCTGTTCCTGGCTTGGTTTCCGCGTGTTGTAGGGAGCCCCACGACTCCTATTGTTTGTGTATATTCCCAAGTATAAGCGCTACTTGTGCCGTTGTTGCAAGAATACGGCCGCGCAGACCCCACGCCATCCGCTCCCAACGAGCGGGCATCACAAAAGGGCAGGGAGAACCTTGCCAACATTGATCGAGGAGATCCCCCCAGGGCCACGGGCATCGCTGCTCATGTGCGCGACGCGCGCTGTGCTGACGTTGCTGCGCTCTTTCTTGGAGCGGATCGTGGCGGGGCGGGTGGATTGGGCGGCCTTTCGCCCGTCGACGAGTGCTTGTGTTTTCCGGCAGCGCGCGCGCCGCAGGAGGTGGCAGCTGCCGTGCCCCTCCTGGCAGGAGGACGAAACCCATCCTGCAGCTGAAGCGTTTGCGGGGGCAGTTTTCCGGAGCGACCAGTACAAGCATGCTCTCGATGAAGCGTGCGTGGCCGTGGCCGCCGACATTTTGGGCCTTCGGGGAGACGCGGTCGAGAGACTTCCTGCGTCCCCCAGGCGGCATCCCAGCACCGTCCCTGACGACAGCGACCAGCAGGAGATGTGCACAGCCCGCCTACCTTGGATAGGGTGCGCTGATGTGGCTTCTCACCTTCGCACCATGGTGAGCCTCCGGTCCTCCTTTCTCCTCGTCGGCCTCCTGCTGCTGCGTTCCTGGAACCACCCGTTTTGCAACCATCATATCGTGGCCTTCGGCCCATCCCGCCCCCGCGCCTGGGTTGTGGGCCATCGGCCTCTTACGGTGTTCGTTGGGATGCTGGGGGGGGACTCCTTGGAGCCGTGGTGGGGTTTTGGGGGGCGTCTTTCGCGGGGGCCTTTTGGGGGCCTCCTTGGGCCTCTTTGAGGCATTTTGGGGCGGAGCGCTCGTATTGCCGATTCGGGCTCCCCCTCCCGGGCCCGTCTTTGGGCTCTCTTGGGGGGTCTTGGGCGCCTCTTGCGTAGTCCTGGGGCCTTCTTGGATCGTCTTGGGGGCCCTTTGCTGGGCTTCCCGGCCGCCTTGGGGCGGTCTGCATGGCCTCATAGGCCGTCGTGGACACCGTGAATGCTCAAGAGTCGTTCACGCCAGAAGTGTATGTTTGCCTGTTGGGAATGGGACGAGGTTTACCTCTTGAAGCCCCCTTGGTGTGTCTTCGGCGCGTTGTCTGTTGACTGGAGGCTACCGTGGGAATCTTGGACCGATCGTTCGACGATTCAAGGCCATCTTGGGGGCTCTTGGGGCACTCGGGAGCCTCAGTGTTAGGGCCTGAGTGGGCCCCACGTAGTCATGCGACAAGCCCCGGGAGCCACGCGACAAGCCCCTGGAGCCATGCGACAAGCCCCGGGAGCCAGCCATTGGGGCCTGGACCCTTGAGGGAACCCTCAGGAGTGAGGACTAAGGCTCAGTGGATCGAGCAAGGGACCTGTGGGACACCCCGATTTGTGCTCTAAGGCACAGTGGCCGATCATCATCGTCAGTGTCCTCCGCATTCTCGTCCTCGTCCTCTCCCTCCCGCCATCATTCCTCATCATCCCCTTGCATCCCCTCCCTCACTTCCCACTTGTCCTCCTTCCCCTTCGCTCATCCGTCCTTCCTGCCCGCCTGTCTTCCTCTGGAGCCGAAGGACGAAAGGGGGGATGATTGGAGGTATTACTAGTAGAGAGGTATGTGTCGGAAGGCAAGAGGAAGAGGAAGAGGAATCGTGATTAGCGGAAGCGGGAGCGGAGGCAAACATGCGGGCGGGCTGGATGCGGAAGCCGAGGAGGCCGATGGGGGGAATGAGAAGCAGGAAGACCACGTAGGATCAGGGGGAACACGCGCAGGAGCGGGGTGGGGGTCGGATGTGGAAGGTGGAGGGGCGCGATCCGGGCGAAGGGAGGCGTGCGCAGTTGGCGAGGGGTGGGCGACATGGAGTGACGGATGGTGGAGGAGCGACAAAAGGGGAAGGATTGTACAGTCGGGGCGCTGAAGAAGGAACCCTTTTCGTTGGGGAGGGGCTCGGTGTTCCTTAAGTGTTTCACAGTTTGCCTCAGGTGTTCCTCGTGTTTTCGATGGGAAATCGAAGGTTATCTTATGGAAACAAGGGGCCTCGTTCCTTTTTTAGGGTTTCTTAGGTCAGCGCCCCGACTGTAGTCGATGATGCAAGGACGGTCGCATTACCAAACACGGCACATGCTTCTAGCTGTTCCGTCGTCCGCCTGCGCTGATCGGCGGATGCTCGGTTATTTGAAGCCGTTCTCATTCAAGATGGTCATCTCCACACGTTTCTCGTGGCGCTACGTGTTTGATGTGTCTAGATCCCAGTCTCTTCTGTCACACCGTTGCCGCTGAGATGGTCGCCTCAGCCGCAACAATGTCGTATGTTTCCTTTCACGTTTGACCTGTCGAGGTATCAAGGCAAACCGGACGCGCGTCGAGCCGTCAATTATCTATGTCGTACGACGTGAGTTGTTGTCTGTCCCGCATTCTCTGTTGTTTATCGCCACGTGCCCACACTGTCCTGTTTCACAGGCCGCCTGCGCATACAGCATGGTTGTTTCCCTACCTTGGCTCTGCCTAGAAGGGTTCTTACTCGGTTGGCTTAAAGGGCCGGGCAGTGGGAATCGCCCCGGGCGGTTCCCCCGGTCCCCTGGGAGCAGTTCCCCCGGTCCCCTGGGAGCTTTAGCTTTAGCTTTAACTTAGTTTTAGCTTAGCTTTAGCTTAGCTTTTAGCTTAGATGTTAGCTTAGCTTTAGCTTAACGTTAGCTCAGATTTAGCTTATATTTAGATTAGCGTTCGCTTAGCGTTAGCTTTAGCTTAGCTTTAGCGTGAGCTTAGCTTGAGATTAGCTTTACCTTAGCTTTACCTTAGCTTTAGCTTGGCATTCGCTTAGTGTTAGCTTAGCTTTAGCTTAGCTTTAGCTTAGCTTTAGCTTAGATTTAGCTTAGCGTTAGCTTAGCTTTAGTTTAGATTTAGCTTAGAAGTAGCTTAGCTTTAGCTTAGCTGTAGCTTAGCTTTAGCTTAGCTTTAGCTTAGATTTAGCTTAGCTTTAGCTTAGCTTTAGCTTAGCTTTAGCTTAGCTTTACTGTTACTACTAATGCTGCTTTCCTAGGGGGTCCAACTCCTAGGTAGGGTCGCACTGGGATAATTTGTTGCACCCTATTATATGTCCACAGCATACCGCGTCCTTCTCTCGGCCGAAGGCGTATGCATTGCAGTCTCGGCGCATGTTTGTTCTCTGCTTCTTTTCCTCTCCCCTCCTCCTCCCCCCCACCCCTCTCTGACGATTGCTTGTGTCGTGCCTGTCTAGGGTGATTATGTTGCGCAGCATAATGCCAGCCAGCTTTTCCTCCTCTTGCGGCTGCCTCCGTACAACGTGACTCATACGAACTGATCTCTTGCCACATGCATTTGCGTCGCTTTCCCAGTCCAGGGTTTTTATTTCGGGCCTGCCTGGTTGCGTAAGCTTGCGTGTGTTTGGCTGCCAGCCGCTTGAGGCTCGAGACATGGATTTGTGAATGCTTCGCGAGCTTTCTGTCCTTCCCTTTCCCCTCCTTCAGAAAATCGATGTGAACATTCAAAATGAATGGGTTTGTTGCCGTGGTGGCCCAGTGTGAAACAATAAAAGATGGAGGGCCAACGGGCGAGGGAGGTTGCAGGAGGGGAGGTTGCGTCTCCAAGGAGCATGGCGGCACCAGGGAAAAGGGGGGGGGAGGCTTGCAGGGATGGAGGGAGAGCAGGGACGCGGGGGATGAGGCCGGAAGGAGGGGTGGGCAGGGGAGCGAGTGAGGAGAAGGAGGGCCGCGCGGGGCGCTGGGAGGGAGGAGGCGTGAGGAGGGCCCACTTGCAGAGGGAGAGGGGGGAGGCGGGAGGAGGCGGCGGGAGCCGTGGCACCGCCCAAAACGCGCCCGAGGAGTTCACGGCGTGCCTGCAGGCCCTGACGCGGTCGCTCGCGACGCGCGACAGGGGCCGGCTGCGCCAGTGGTGCGCGGCGTTGCTCGGCGGGAAGGCGCCTTTGCGGGGGGAGGGGCATTTTGGGGGCCAGTCTGTTGCCTCCCTCTTGGGAGTATTTTGTAAGGGTCTGGCACGTCCTCCTCCTCCTCCTCCTCCTCCTCCTCCTCCTCCTCCTCTCTTCCTCTTCCTCCTCCTCCTCCTCCTCCTCCTCCTCCTCCTCCTCCTCCTCCTCCTCCTCCTCCTCCTCCCCGTGCACGTCCTGCCCAGGCCGCCGCGAAATCGAGGCGCCGGCCCCCCCGCAGCGGGCCTGGCGGGACCGAGAGACCACGAGGCGCGGAGGCGCCTGGGCCCGATCCTGCGGGTGCCTGCGATCGGAAAAAATGTAGGGGTCTGGCGATAACCCAAGTTCTTCAGGAGGAGGGAGGAGGGAGGAGGGAGGAGGGAGGAGGGAGGACGGAGGAGGAGGAGGAGGAGGAGGAGGAGGAGGAGGCGGAGGAGGCGGAGGAGGCGGAGGAGGCGGAGGAGGAGGAGGAGGAGGCGGAGGAGGCGGAGGAGGAGGATCAGAGGAGGAAAGCTACCCATACCTCTACCCTTCGCCCGTTTCCCCCTCTTTGGACCTCCTGGGAGGCCCTCGTCGCCACCGCTGGATTCGCCTCGAAATCCTGGTCAGATCGCACCCCAGGAGATGTCCGGGGAGTAGCCGTATCGGTACCTTTTGGTTTCCCCATATCGTGCCCGCCCCCCTCTCCTCCCCCCCCGAATAACCCGACCTGTCGGTTTCACAGGTCCGAAGGGGCGTGCAGTATTGGCTCGGGCTGGCATGCGTGGGGCTGTCCAAAGCGAACAAGTTAGGTTATCGGCCAGCAGCCCGGCCCCCCCTGGGATAACCTTGGCGATCGCAGAACAAATAATTTCGATATCCTTGCCTCCCACCCTTTCCCCTCCTTCTGATGAGGAGAAGGACCTACTGCTACCCTACTCTCGCTTTTGCTCTTTCGGGGCTCCTGGGAGACTCGTCGCCAAGGCTTGATTCGACAAGAAATTCCAGTCAGGACGCACCCGGCAGAGGTCCAGGCAGTAGCGGCATAAATATGATTTGTTTTTGTTCGATTTGATTTCTGGACATGCGGACGCAGTCCCATCTCTCGTCATCATTCGTTTTTTTCTTTTTGTTCTTGCTCGTCGCCCTCTCCCCCCTGCTGTCCAGAGTCCTTGCATGGTGGAGACCAGAAACCCCTTTCCATCAGTTGGGGAAGCGGACAGTCTGCATCATCCGAGCTGAGCCAGCGCCGAACGATCGGTTCGCACTGCAGAGTGTCGTTCTCGCTTGAACGTCCTCCGTCCTGTGAGCCGCAGCCCCTGACCAGGCCGAAGGGGAAACAGGCCCCTGGTAGCCGCGCCAGGCCGCCTTCGCGGGCGGGCGCGTGCCAGGCCTTGTCTCTCCCTCTTTCTCCTCGCCCGCGGAGCCTCGCTGCCTCTCCTCACCTTCTGTCTCCTCTTTGCACAACATGTTTGGCCCCCCCCCACACCCCCGCGGAAGGCATCCGTACATGCCATACACATCGCCGTGCCTGGCCCGAACCCTCGCGGGCCCGAGGGCGGTGCACAGGTACAGGCCCTCCTGCTCCTGCCCTCGGCCGGGAGGGCGCACGTTTTTTTTGTTCTGAGCGCGAAGAAGCCCTGTGGCACGAAGCGAGGAACGAGAGAGGAGAGGGAGGTCGCAAAAAAAAAAACCCAACGCACAGAACAACACGAACAACAAACAAAAAACACAAACAAACACACACACAACAAAACATCCTAAACCAAAAAACAACCGGGGGGGTGAAAGACAAAGAAGCAGCCCAGCTCACGAGGGAGGGCGCATGCACACACCACGGCAGGGCCCATCATGGCCCTGGCAAGGCATGGTAGTGGTGCCGGAGGCAGCGATAGCTAAGGGGGGGGGGATAGGCTCCAGAGGGGGGGGGAACGAGGGGGGGGGGGATAGGCTCCAGAGGGGGGGGGAACGAGGGGGGGGGTGGGATAGGCTCCAGGGGGGGGGGGAACGTCTCGACCCCCATCGCCCATTCTTCATCGCCGATGGGGGCCCGAGCGCCCGCCCCGCCCAGGAACGTGCGGATTCGCCATCGGGGGTTTACCGCCGATCTCTCGGCGATGCGTCGCCGATTCAAGGTGGATGCTTCCACCATGAGCCAGTTCCCCACAATCGTTGACCCGGACTGTGTAACGGTGCCTTCTGCTTATCCCCATTCCAAGCCCAAGTTTTCCGTCGCCACCTGGAGAGACGGAGAGTCGTAGATAGATTTAGGCATTCTAGATGCGGTCAGAGTAGGTGGGGTCAGAGGATCACGCCGCATCGCCGATGAATTTGCGATGTGGCTCGACGTGGAGTCCGATCTTCTCCACGCCGAGATCGCCGATTCATCGCCGATGAATCGCAGATGCATTGGCTCTGCGGCGCAATCTTCCGACCTCATCTTCTCGGACCCCATCTTGGATGTCTAGTGGAGCGTACATGCCGGATGCCTTGGCTTGGTGCTGGTCCGTGGCCAGGGTCTGACATCGACGTGCGCTTGTGCGCGTGCACGTGTGGAGCGTTCAGCCTGTCCCTCGTGTCTGCCCTCCTGGTTTCCGCTCCTCGGGTCTGGTTGTCGTTGCGGCTCCGGGTACTCCAAAAAGCGCTGAAGGAATGGTGGCGGAGATTTGTTCTTCTCAAGCATCCTGGTCCTTCTTCCACCTGGAGGCCAGGGTTTACGCTTCTCATCCGCACATTTGTTGTCACATCTATTCTGCAAGGCCGGCCGAATTTTAATTCAAATAGCACAAGCAGGCTGTCCCTTTGTCGACCCCCCCTCAACTCTGTCACGAAATAGGTTGTGGAGCATTTGATGTAATGTTGCAGATGCGTTGCCATCATTTCTTATCAGGTAAGTGCTATGCGCGCCACACGCACACGCACGTGTCAGCATCATCACAAAACCATGTGTGATCAAAGAGTTGTCAACAACACCTATCACCGTACAATGCTTTTGCAGTGCACATTCAAGACTCCTGTGCGCGCGCACCCGCTGAGTCCGTAGGATGCAGCCGCACGAGCGCGCATGTCAAAATCATTGATCAGTCATCGCGCACCCGCCAGCTGCCACGCGCGCGTCCCCGCGCGCTCGTAGATGTTCCTGGACCCCCCCCCTCTCTCACGCGCGGACAGGGCCGGCGAGCGCAGGTATAGCAGCGTTGTTGGAATGGCCTCCGGCCAGTGCCGTCGATCCGGGGGGCTCCGGATTCGGTGATCTTTCGGGAGACTCTCCATGGGATCCCCAGGGGATCCTATGGGATCCCCCCCTGGGATCCTATCCCCCCATGGGATCCCCCCCCATGAAGAGTCTCCCGAATCTTGGAGTCGTCGGGGACGCTTTTTGGAGCTGACGTGCCCTCTGCATGGGGGGGTGCCTGGAGCGGTCCCAGGGGGGGGTCCGGGAAGGGTTCCGAGGGGAGGGTCCGATCTGAGAGGGGGTCTTTTTGGGACCTCCCGAAGCATCTTGGGGATGCGCAAATCATGCAGAAAACGCCAGATGGGGGACCGCTCTCCCCCCCCCACCCCGTGCCCCCCTTCCCCAGGGAGGGGGTCCGGGGAGGGGAGAGTCCTGGGGGGGGTCCTTGGTACCCCCCGAAACATCTTGGGGATGCGCAAATCATTTAGAAAACGCCAGATGGAGGACCCCCCTCCCTCCCCCTCCTTCCCCCGGCAGAGCCACCCCAGCAAACCCCCCCAAGCAGAGCTGAAGCTTTTGCTTAGGCTCAGAGCTGAAGCTCTTGCTGAGGCTCCTTGTAGTTCACACGCCGGATCGGCGGATACGGGTGTGTGATGGTTTGTTGGTTGCAGTGGCAGGCGGGCGGGGTGACCGTAGCGGTCAGACCAGTTGACATCACACCGTTGGTCAAAATATCAGCGCTCTTCGATTTCAGTAGTGATGCCGCGACTGCATGGATGTGGGAATGGCCGAGCTCTGAATGCCACGTCCGCTGCCTCTCTCCCCGGCAGGTCGGTTCCTCGGCAGTTTCCTGGCCTTGGTTGTCCGGGGAGCTGTCCTTGATGAAACTCGCTGGCAGGTGGGGAGGGGCAAATGACACACGGAGGGAGGGGAGGACCGTTAGTATCGTTTAACCGACCCCCGTCCCCATCCTCATCCCCTTCGAGACCCCCACCAAGTTGCCACCCCAGTCGGGGATACACCCCTCGAAACCCCAAGGGGACGGCCTATATCCTCATCTAGGGGGGTAAATCGGCCAGTGGGGCCCAGGCCACGCCGCTTGGGATGTCGGTCGGATAAACGATGCTCAGAAGAACGGAAAGGAATATATGACAAGTAAGGAGAGAGCAGGGCGGAAAGGGGAGGGAGCTGCGGAAGTGGGAGGGGAGAGTCAGAGGGAGGGGGATGCGGAGGCGGATTGGGGAAGGGGGAGGATTTTTGGGGACGGGAGTGACATGTAACTGAAGGAATTCGTGGAAGAGGCGTTGGAGGAGGAGACGAGGCAGCAGAGGAAGTGGAGAACGAAGAGGAAGAGGAGGGTGGATGACTTCAACGTTGATTACCTTCTAGGCTGAACCTTCCAAGATGGCCCCAGAGGCTCCCGAGAGATCCAGGAAGGCCCCCGTAAATCAATCCTGGGGCATACTGTCAGATTGGACGTCCGAGCCGCGCTCCCGAGGCCTCGGGACAGTGTCGGCCCGAGCGCCCGGAACGCCCAACTCCATTACTCTGTGTCCCTCAATAGTTTTGGGGGATGCTGTAGTCCGGGGGGGGGGACCTGTAGTCCGGGGGGGTACCTGTAGTCCGGGGGGGGGTACCTGTAGTCCGGGGGGGGGGGACCTGTAGTCCGGGGGAGGGTACCTGTAGTCCGGGGGGAGGGGTACTTGTAGTCCGGGGGGTACTTGTAGTCCGGGGCCCCAAAATTATTTAGGGACACAGAGTATTTTCCTCGCGGCGCGGTGGCGGACATGGAATGGCGCACCTCGTGGTGCAGTGGGTCTAGGCCTCCCAGGTGGGCTCCGAGCAGATGGGGTCGAAGGGTCGCGAGGAATCGCCGATACATCGCCGATGCGGCTCGATGTGCGGGCCGATTTGCTTCACGTCGACGTCGCCGATGTATCGCCGACGTCGACGATGCATCGCCAGTGCATCACCGATGCATAGCCGATGCATCGGCGATGTATCGGCGATGTGTCGGCGATGCGGCGCGATCCTCCGACCCATCTACTCCGACCCCATCTAGGAGGCCTCTAGTGGCAGGCATGGCGATGCGAGACGCTCTCGCCCGCCGGGTGCCTCCGTGGCAGCGCGAGCGAGTGGATCACGGTAGGCTTGCGCCGCGCTGGCGCGGCGGTGACCCCAGCGCGGATGTTCAAGGTTGAAGGATGGTCCGATGTTCCACCACTACCACGGGTAGGACGGAGGAGAAGGGAGGATGGGGAGGTCCTCCTCCTCCTCCTCCTCCTCCTCCTCCTCCTCCTCCTCCTCCTCCCTCTCTTACCTATGGTAGTGGTGGTGGACAATCGGCCCATCGTTGAACGCCGCCGCCGCCTCGCTCTGCGATGGAGGTGCGGTGGTCCAGTCACACGGGGCGAGTTCGATGGCAAATCATGGGAGCCCGGTACACCGTCTTAACGCCTTCTTTTGCCTCGACTCGCGCCGAGCTGCGTCTGTGAGTCCATGAGAAAGCGCCGATGCAGCGTCGATTTAGCGTCGAGTAGCGACGATTCAGTGTCGATCAGCGTCGGAAGATGGTATGGGAGACTCCCATGATTTGCCACCGAAGGCTTGTACGAGGATAAAACCGTTCCAGAGCGTTCCGGAACGCTCTCAGAGCATTCCGGAACGCTCTGCGAGGGCGGCAGCGCCCGAGGCAGTCTCCAGAACCGCCAGATCTTTAAAGATTCCCGATGTATCCACACCCGATTTTATCCTCCTCTTGGATTCGTCTTTTACAGATTCTGCCTGGCCCTTCCTCCGCCTGATCGTTCCTCTGGCATCCCTCTGCTTCCTCCCTCGGCACGCTGGGTCTCGGCGCAGATTACTGCAGACTGGGGCTGCACGCGACCCCACTGACCCGCTGGGTGCATCGCGACCGCGTGCGGACAGGCAGCGATGGAGCCAGTGCATGGCTGCTCGAATCAGCTGTCGCCCTGGCGACCCTGTTCCCACGGATGGCGTTCGCGTGGCGCTGGCTGGCAGGGGCCAGTGGGGAGCTTGAGGGTCGGGTCGCCACGGTGTGGCGTCTCGGCGCGGCCTTGAAAATAGAAACCGTCTCGACCATGCGACCTGCATCACGATGCACGCCTGACTTGGGACACAATTCCTGGGAGGTTCAACTCAGCATCGGCGCTGGTATATCCGTCATCGAGAACAGGCCCAATCTGGCAAAATCCAGTCCGTTCTCTCTTGCTCTGACTCAACCGGCTTAATCCTGGGCTCAATTCAGACTAGTCTGGTTAAGTGGTCCCGTCATCGGGCTTGTTGGTGTGAATGTTTTCTTAAAGGATGCTTCGTAGGAGCTGTCTCATATCGAATGCCTAGAGGGTGGCACCGGCAACTAAGTCGGCGTTTTGCCACAACCGAGGAAAGATGATCCCGATCCCGGTGACGGTTGTACTAGATGGGCTTCTCAGGTGGCGGGACGATTACCGCCGACACCACAATCAAGGATCACATTCTCCCTCTGGAGCCCCCCCCTGTGTTCGTGTTGTGCTGATGCAAATTTCCAAGGCTCCAATCATACCTGACGTGGCCCGGAATCGAGCAAACTGCATTAGCATAAGCTTCAGGAGGGACAAAAAACACACAGACACAATTAATCGCCGGTTACGCAGAAAATATGAGAAAATATGGGAAGTGGGGGGGAAGACAAAAAACCTAGAAAATATAAAAAATATGGGAGATATTTTTATGTGTGTGTATTTATTTGTGTGTCCTGGGGCCCCTTCACAGCTTGCGAGGTTCCGCGCGGTATCGTTGGAGTGGCTCCTGGGCCCCCCTGGCGGTGCCTCTGGCGCCGCGCGTGCTTCGCGCGCCACGGAAAGGGGGGCCCCGGGAGCCGCTCCAAGAACTCCGCGCGGACTTCCCGAAGTATTATGTTTAAGCTGCTGTTTGTTTGTTTGTCTCGTCGTGGTGCTGGGGCCTATTCTCGGGGCGCTGAAGAAGGAACCCTTCTCGTTGGGGAGGGGCTCCATGTTCCTTCATTGTTTCGCAGTTTGCCTCAGGAGATTGTTTTTTTATCCTCTGGGGGGTAACGCTCGTTACCCGGGCCTCTCCCCCCCCCCCCCCCCCCCGTAACGGTACCGCTCGTACGCGGGGGGGGTCTCGGTCTTCCCCTCCAACATGCTGGTGCCCGAAGGCATGCGCACTGTGGTGTGGTGGTCGCAGGCGCACTGTGGGCGCTCGCAGGCCATTGCGGCGCTCGCATGCGCGATGCTGGTGCTTGCGGGCTTTGCGCTTGTACTCGAATCGTCGTCGTCGTCGTCGACGGCGCCCGAAAAACGGCCTCCGGAGTCCGACAAAGGCACAAAAACAACGTCGTCGTCGTCGTCGTCGTCGTCTCGTTGCCGTCGTCGTCGTCGTCGTCGTCGTCGTCGTCGTCGTCGTCGTCGTCGTCGTCGTCGTCGACGGCGCCCGAAAAACGGCCTCCGGAGTCCGAAAAAGGCGAAAAACGTTGTCGTCGTCGTCGTCGTCGTCGTCGTCCATCGTCGTCGTCGACGGCGCCCGAAAACGGCCTCGGGAGGGCGAAACAGGCGGCAAACGTCGTCGTCGTCGTCGTCGTCGTCGTCGTCGTCGTCGTCGTCGTCGTCCTGCTCTATGGCCTTCCCCCCTAACATGCTGGTGCCCGAAGGCATGCTGTGCTGCTCACAGGTACACTGCGGTTCTCGTGTGCTACCATGGCACACGCAGGCTTGTGCGGGGTGTTCGAGGACGAGTTGCGCTGCTCGCGAACGTTTTCGGTGCCGACACGGTTTGGCATGCTGTTGTATACGCGCGCGTTGTGGCGTTCGCAGGCACGCTGGTGGTTCTCTAGCGCCCGCTCACATGTGTGCCGCCGCGGTCGCCGGTGCTCACACGCATGGCGCCTTGACCGCAGGCGTGGCGCGGTGATCACAGACCGCGATGGCGGGGATAAGGAGGAGGAGGAGGAGGAGAAGGAGGAGGAGGAGGAGGAGGAGGAGGAGGAGGAGGAGGATGGGGAAAGAGGTCATCCAACTTGCTCGCAGCCTGGAGGTCCCCACATAGCGGGGCTGGCGCGGAATTGCATCGACGCGGCGGCGACCCCAGCGCGGGCGTTCATGGTTGAATGCTGCTGCTCGACGTCGTTGACGGCGCCCGAAAAACGGCCTCCAGAGGCCGCAAAAGGCGAAAAACGTCGTCGTCGTCGTCGTCGTCGTCGTCGTCCTCGTCGCCGTCGCCGTCGCCGTCGCCGACGTCGTCGTCGTCGTCGTCGTCATCGTCGTCGTCGTCGTCGTCGTCGTCGTCGTCGTCGTTTTCATCGTGGTCGTCGTCGTCGTCGTCGTCGTCGACGGCGCCCGAAAAACGGGCTCCGGAGTCCGAAAAGGCGAAAAACGTCGTCGTCGTCGTCGTCGTCGTCGTCGTCGTCGTCGTCGTCGTCGACGGCGCCCGAAAACGGCCTCCGGAGGCCGAAACAGGCGGCAAACGTCGTCGTCGTCGTCGTCGACCTCGTCGCTCGTCGCTCGTCGATCATCGTCGTCGCGCGCGCGGGCGCGGGCGTGGTGCCGGGACCACGCGGCGGGCTTTGCGCTTGTACTCGAATCGCAAGCCACTGTGGTGCTCTCAGGCAGAGAGTGCTGCTCGCGCGCATACTATGGCGATCGCAGAGCGCCCCTGCCTCGCCATACCCCGCCCAGCCCAAGCGTTACCGTTACCCGGGGGGCACGACCGCCCCCCCCCCCCCCCCCCCGGGTAACGAGCGTTATCGGCCAGAATAAAAAAACAATCTCCAGGGTTTCCCTGAGGGTTTCCATGGGAAGTCAAAGTTCGTCTCATGGGAAAAAAGGGCCTCGTTCCTTATTTGGGGTTCCTTAGGTCAACGCCCCGACGGTACCCGACGTGGCGTGGCGACGTGCCGAGCCGACCCCGCCCCCCCGTCCGGCAGGGAGCTGGTCCAGAGCGTCGTGCTGCCGACGCTGGCTGGCACCGCCGGCGCGCAGGAGTTGCGCGCCGAGGTGGCCGGCGTGGCCGGAGGCCCTCAGATTTTTTGTGAATCACGGAAACACCGCTCACCACCCACCAAACCACCCCAACCCAACCCGAAACCCTCAATTTGCCCTCCATTTCCAGTGGGGGGGGGTCGGGGAACGTTGAAAAAACACATGGAACCCGTACCCCCCCCAACCCGAAATTGGGGTCAAATTTGGGTTTTCGGGTTGGGTTGGGGTGGTTTGGTAGGTAGTCAACCGCTGCATAAAACAGGGCTAGATCGGGATAAATCGCTCCAGAGCGTTCCGGAGCGCTTTCAGAGCGTTCCGGAGCGCTCTGAGAGCGGCCGCGGCGCCCAATACATCCCCCAAACCCGCCGCTTCTCAAGGATTTCGAGTTATCCCGATCCGATGTTGTCCCGATCTTCGCGTCGTTTTACTGCAAGGCTTAGAAACGCAGAGGATGGGGCCGATGGCATCGAGGCATCTCGGCCGTGGGCGACTTCGTGGGGGCGCATGTGCGACGAGGCCTCCCGCTCTCGAGGCAAGGATGTTGCATCTCCCCCGAGCTGTTGTGCCAGCTGCGAGTCGCGGAGCACACAAACACGGAACGTAACGAGGATCAGGAGAAGGAGGCGAAGGGCGATCGACGCCGACCACCACCAGCACATAGAGCATTGGCGGGCGGCATGACGAAGCTGACCTGCATTGAAAGCATGATGATGCGGAGGGGAAGAAGGAGGGAAACGGAGAGAGGGCACATGACGGAGAACTGAGCAGGATGGTGGACAAGAATATCAGTACGGAGCAAATGCCATACCGGTAATCCAGGTATGTACAGTTGGGATCTAAGTTTCCATTCCCTCTTTCTGCGTCTGTGAGCCTCCTTCCACCCTCCTCGTTCTCGTCGTCGTCCTCCATTTCCTTTTATTGGACGTTTTTCTCCTCCTTGTCCCCCGTCCCACCTACCTTCTCCATCCCTCGCTTCCCCTCCCCTCCCAGCCTTCGTCCTGTCCCTCCTTGATACATCACCTCCCTTTTCCCCCTCCCCTTTAAACCTTTGCCTCTGCCTCCACCTCGGCTTTCCCCTCTTAGTCCTCTCTACCTTACACCGTCCTTCCTCCTTCCTGCTTCCCGTCCTCTTCCTCCTGCCTCGTCGCCGTCCTCTTCCTCATGCTTGTTTTTATTATCCTCCTTGCCTCCCGTCTCACCTTCCTTATTCATTCCTACACATATATATATATATGCATATACATACAGAGAGGGGGGAGGGAGAGAGAGAGAGAGAGAGAGTGCCGTCTCACCTCCCTTCTCCATCCCTATATCTATCTATCTATATATATATACAGAAGGGGGAGAGAGAGAGAGAGAGCAAGAAACAAAGATAGAGAGGGGGAGAGAACAATATAGGAAGAGAGACTGAGAGAGAAAGAGAGAGAAGGGCGCTTCGGCACATCGCGCCACCGTGCCTTGGTTGTGGGTCAGAGGCCTCTTGGAGGCCTCTCGGAAGCCTCTGGGAGGCGGTTTTGGGGTGTCTTGAGGGCGGTCCTCTTGAGGCCCGATTTGGGCGTCTTGGGGGCCTCCTGAAGTTTCCAGGGGGCGTTTGGGGACCTCTTGGCGGTTTCGGGGGTCATTTTGTGGCCGAGGGTTTGAATTGTCGGTTCGTGCTCCCCATCTGGGGCCTGGGCTGTGGGGCCGTCTTGTGACGTCTTGGTAGCTTCTTGGAACGTGTTGGGTCCTTCTTGGACCGTCTGGGTTCCTTCTTGGAGCTCCGTGGGCCGTCTTGGGGCGATCTCCGGGACTTCTTGTGCTGTCTGGGTCGGTCGGAAGCCCGAAAGGGCGACAACGCCCACATCCGTCCAAGACCACATGAAATCCATGAGTATGGTCTAGTTGCGCTTTCTTGGGGGGCCCCTCGGATCCCTCTTAGGGTGTCTTTGGGGCCTCTCGGGCAGTCTTGAGCCATCTTGCAAGCATCTTGGAGCGCTCTTGGGCCGACTCGGATCCCTCTTGGACCGTCACGGGGGCCTCATGGGGCCCTTTTGGCTTGTATTGGGGGCTCCGTGTAGCCCGAGAAGTTACGCGGGAACGCGCCCCGCTACACGGGAGGCCCCCGTGGAAATCAAGCGTTCTAGCTGTCAGTATTTCATATTGGATGACTGAGAATTGGAGGGACTTGAGGATTTCCAATTTGTTTTCGTTTAGTTGGGCACTTGCTTAAGTTGTCTCTTTGAATCGGCTGGGCTATTGTGATGGGACATCATTATGACTCAGGGGCTGATGGCCCTCATATCTCCTGTCCCGCGGGGGGGGGGGTCCAGCGAACTGGTGGCATGCGCAGGTCCAAATCAGAGCTCGCTCCCTTGGGCGTAATTCGAATCGCCCTTTGTCATGATCTTCCTGCGACCCTGGGGGGCCCAAGCGGGGGTGGCGACACAAGCATATCTAAATCAGACCTCGCCTCCTTGGGTGTCGCAAGGCGTTCGGTTGTCCCCGACTTCCTGCGCCTTGGGGGGCGCCCACCGCGGTGGCGACGCACGCAGGTAAACACTAGACCGCGGCCCCTCTGGGCGCTGCCTTCTCTCGTCTCCTCCCTTGCTCACTCGGCAGTACAGTCAACAACCCTAGTAAGGACGCGCGACTTTGCTCAGGGTACCCTTGCGTCCTTGCTCTTCCTTGCTCTTGCGTCCTTGAGGTTCTCGTCGTCCGCCGCCCCGAATCCCAACTTCGGCTTCCAAGGGTCTTGCGTCCTTACCGCGCGTCCTTGTTAGGGTTTTTGACTGCAGTCGAGACGCCACCTCCCTGACCGCTGTCAAACGCGCAACTGCTAGTTCCTCCATCCACCTGCAGCCGTCGTGCTTCTTCTGCCCCCCTTCGCCCTTCCTCCTCGACTCCAGCCTGTGCTCCCCTGGCGACCGAACGAGCAGCACCCTGGCGCCTACTCTTGGCCTCGCGTGCGGCCGCCCTCTTGGGCGAATGGGGGACTGCCTCTTGCCTCTGGCCTCCTCCACCGTGGAGACCCCTGCCAAGAAACACCCTGCTTGCTTCCAGGGTGCCCTGTTTTGTTTTGGGTTTCGATGGATTTTCTGTGGAAGGTGTGACGCTTCCACACCAAAAAGCAAAGAACGCCCTGGGGTTTGAGGGTTGGGTTTCTCGTGGAAGGTTTCTCGTGGACTGGCCTCCACTGTACGCATCTGCTCTCCCCCTTACCTCATCGTGTCAACGTTGGCCCGCCCCCCCCCCCCCAGCGCTGCCGTCTGACGGCGCCGCGCCTGCCGCCGCGGTGTTCTGAGGTGCCCCGCGGGCGAGGGCCGTGGCGGAGTCAAAAGAGGCGGCTGGTCAGCGAGCGGGAGAGGTATTAGGAGAGGGAGGAGGGGAGGCGATGAGATTGTAGATGGGGGAGGGAGAAGGCGAGGGGCACACTTTGCTACCATGCCACGCCAGCCCCAGGGAGCTAGGGAGCTCACCGCTGTTTCCTCGGCCAGCGAGGTCGTCCAGGCTTGGCAATTCGATCCCGCTGGCATGCTGGCCAAGCTGCTTCGGTCCGCCCTCACTAACTCCAGCAGGGCCTCGCGCTTTCCCTGCCACGGAAGCTACCAACTTGCGCATCAGTGGGCGGAATTGGAAGGGTGCCGGGGGGGCGAGGGGTCAGAGGTGTCGATGGCGAGGGGAAGACGGGGATGAGGCGGGAGGAGGGGTGTCGATGGGATATCGCATACGTCGATCTGGGGGGGGGTGCATGGACGGAAAGGGGGGACTACCAATTGGACTATGAGAATTACAGTGCCGAGTGGGCCATCAATGGGACTATTCAGGGGGCTACCAAGGGCGGCGCCAATGGGAGAGGACCCAGCGCGCGCACAATTCGGTATCAGTGGGACTATTCAGGGGACTACCAAGGGGAGTATCAAGGGGAGGGGGCCCGGCGCGCGTAGAACGCCTTGAGGGAGCGTCCGCCCCCGCGACGCGCCGTCTCCCGCCGCAGGAGGAGATCTTGCGGTCGCTGGTAAACGAGCTGGGCGTGGAGGAGTGCCTCCCCCGCTGCCGCCCGCCGCGCGAGACTGCCCCTCCCCCTGCCCCCTTCCCCTCCCCCCCTCCCTGCTCCCGCGCTTCTCCTCCCTCCTCCCTCTCGGGATCATTGCCCTGCTCGACATCTGACTGTGCGAGTAGAGAGGGGATCTGCACCATGGTAAGGGATGGGAGGGAGGGGTAGGATGTCAGATATGACGCGAGCGCACCTAGCTTGTCCCTCCTCCCCTCCCCCCCCTCCCTTCCCTGTCCTCCGCCCTCCCCTCCTCGCCCTGCCTCGAGCTCTTCCTCGCGATTCGCCACCTCCCCCGCAGGCGGCGCCTCCGGCGCCCCCTCCATGGCGCGCTCCGCGCGCCCACGAAAAGGGGCCCATCGCCGCTCCCATGAATCCGCGCGGGCATCGGAGTATGTGCGTGTGTGTGTGTGTGTGTGTGTGTGTGTGTGTGTGTGCGTGTGCGTGTGCGTGTGCGTGTGCGTGTGTGTGTGTGTGTGTGTGTTTGTGTGTATATGCAGTTGCCTGTTCCTCCAGCATGCTCCCCCGGTGGCGGAGGAGGAGGGGGAGGGGGAGGAGGAGGGCTCCCCCTCTCCCCCTCCTCCCCCTGGTGGCGCTCCTCTCCCTGCGAGGAGGGGGGGCCTGAGAGGGGCGAGTGGGGGCAGCGGTTGGCTTCTCCTCCTTGCCCCTCCTCCCCATCCTCCCAGTGTCTGTTCGGGGGAGCGTAAGACCCGGGTTTGCCAGGACTCGGGTTCGCCATCGTTTTTTGACGACCGCGCCTCGGATTTTGACGAGGAGGAGTTTCGTGGGATGTCTGCAGCGGGAGGCCTCGTCAAAATGCAGGCTCGGCCTCGTCACTTTTTTGACGACCTCGTCGGGGATTTCCGAGTCCCCTGTACCCAGGTCTTACGTCCCCCTGATATGTGACCACATGCGTCCCGCGCCACATCGTACGGCTTCCCGTGGCGCCTCGCACGCTTCGTGGCCCCGTAGCAAGCTCCACCCGCGGCCCCCGTGCGTGCGTCCCCGCCCACCCCTTCCGGCAGCCCCCGCCCACGCTCTCCGTGGCCCCAGCATCGGGGGGCCCCCAAACGGTGCGGTGACCACGCCGTGCGGTGAGTCGGTTGGGATTCGGGGCCACCGCACGGCTTTGGGGCTCGGGTCGTCCTCCGAGGACGTCTCGGGCGACAGGGGCCTCCAAAGTCCCAAAACCGTGCGGTGACGGACCGTGCGGTGAGGTCTTGTGGGATTTCGAGGTCACCGCACGGTCCGTCACCGCACCGTTTCGGGACTCCAAACAGAAGGAGCTCCGAATTGCTCAACTGGTGCCGTTCGCATGCGTCCCCGCAGTCCATGTCGGCACCCCCCTCGCACGCTTCGATGCCCAATAGAGACCCCAACCTATGGTCCCAGGGGTGCCGTTCGCATGTGTCCTCGCCACCGGTTTCGTCACACCCCTCACACGTTTCGTGGCCCCATGGGGACCCCCACCCGAGGCCGCAGTGGTGCTGTTCGCATGCGTCCCCGCCACCTGTTTCGGCACACCCCTTACACGCTCCGTGGCCCCGTAGGGAGCTCCACCCACGGCCCCAATGGTGCCGTTCGCATGCGTCCCCGCCACCCATGCCGGCACCCCCCCCGCACGTTTCGTGGCCCCAGCGGGGCTCCACCGACAGCAGTGGCCACGACGAGGTGTTCACCACTGCATGTGGTCGAGTCCGTCGCCGAGATATCTTCCTTCGGAGGTGGAAGGGCTACAGTCAACAACCCTAATAAGGACGCGCGACTTTGCTCAGGGTACCCTTGCGTGCTTGCTCTTCCTTGCTCTTGCGTCCTCGAGGTTCTCGTCGTCCGCCGCCCCGAAAATCCCAACTTCGGCTTCCAAGGGTCTTGCGTCCTTACCGCGCGTCCTTATTAGGGTTTTTGACTGTAGGTCTCCTGCAGGGGCGCGAAGATAAGATCGCGCTTCGCGCGTCGAGGTCAGGGCCAGAGCGGTTGCCAGTCTCCGAGGAGGGCGGCGTGAAGACGCGGGAACCATCGCGCATCGCGGTGCGCGATGCGCGAAGTCAGGTTTTCGTCGAGCCTGTCCCGCTGCAGGAGGAAGATCCAAACATAGTAGAAACATAGTCCGGGGACGATGTTGTTGTATTACTGTTTGATCATTGGGGGGCATTTCTGGGGTGTCCTTTATTTTTCGCCCAAAATCCGCCTGTAGGGGGACGCGCCCGACCGAAAGTTAGGCAACCTGGGGAAAGGGGGGGGGGTGTATTGGCGGCTGCAGGGGCGCGGGCGTGGCGAGGCGGGGGATGCGAGGGGACGGGAGCTGGGAGTCGCGAGCATGCTTGGGGGGAAATGAGAGGACAGAAGGACAGCGGAGTGGGGCAAAGAGGCAGGACGGGGATAGGGAGCACCCGGGAGGTGATAGAGAGACGTTTGGGGATAATGAAGGATGACATGAGTATGTCGGGTTTGGGGGGCATGACAGTATTGTGGAGAGGGAGTACCATTTACAAGATGATACACGAGCGTGTACGTGTGTTTACATACACATGTATATCTAATGGCCTCTGGCACATCCCGCCACCGTGCCTGGGTTGTGGGTCATAGGCCTCTAGTGTGTTCGTTGGGATGTCTGCTTCTTGGGGCTCTCTTGGGAGGCCTATTGGAGGCCCCTTGTGTAACTCCTGGGGCATCTTAGATACTTTTTGGGGGCCTCGTGGGGCCTCCTGGGGTTCTGGGCTCCCTGTGGGAGCCGTTTTGGGTGGCCTCTTGGGCTCTCGGAGGCCTTTAGGAGCATCTTGGGGCCCTCTTGGGCTGTCTTGGGGCCGGCTTGGGGGCCTCTTTGGCCGCCTTGGGGGCGATATTGATGGCATCTTGGGCCGTCTTGGAGCGCCGGGACGCCGAACACGCGAGTGCCCAAAACAAACCTTCAAAGACCAACGGAACAGCTATGATCTTTGCCTTTGGGGGCCCTCTTGGGAGGCCTCTTTGAGGCCTCTTGTGGCGTCCTGAGTGCCTCTCAGGCCGTCTGGGGGCCATCTTGGGCTGGCTAGATGCGCTCCTAGACCGTCTTGGGCGCTCGGTGGGGAGCTCACTGACAGTCTGCTGGTCGTTTTGATCGTTGCAACCCTCCCAGCGCTCATTCGGAGCACCCCCGGAGCGCCAAGAGCACATGAAAATGTGTAGCCTGGGCCCTCAAGAAATTGCAAGGCCGGCTGTAGCAACAACAGCACAGTTGTGGGCACAATTCTGGCGGCAGCAGCAGCACAGCTGTGAGCCTTGGGGCACTCCACTTCTTGCCAGATGCACGGTGGCGGGTAGACGTATGTCCAGGTGGCACGTGCGTGTCCATCATACGAACCGCAACAAGGGAACACCGATGGGGTCGCCACAGCTTGCGCTTGTACGAACTGCTGAGAAGCGGCAAGCTTGTGAAAGTAGTCGGATCACCAGAAATCCCATGCGCTTCTAGCACATCTGCAAAACATCACTGGATCCCGTTGGGGTGCGTCGGATGCTCAAACACACGAGGCTGTCCCAAGCGAAATGGCACCAGAAAGCGCGGACGGAACGGAATGAGACGGCCTCTTCAATACTCGCCTCTGAGTTCTACCCCGTCTGAGAAGTGACATCTGAGACCATCTGCACATGCATGTGCACATGTGTATCGGGGAAACGTACGACTCGAGTTGGCCAGCCGACGGGTTTGCCGACGCTTTTTGACGGGCCTGTCATGAGTCTTGACGGTCGGGTTCTCGTGGAATGTGTACAGCGGGGGCCCGCGTCAAGTTTCACATTGGACCTCGTCATTTCCTTGACTGCCCCGTCAGGCCAACCCGAGTCCCCCGTTCCGGAGTCTTACGTCTCCCCCGGATCAACGGACTCAGTCTTTATGTGTGCGCGCGTGTGTCGGTGCAGTCCTGCTTGTGCCCCAGAGCTGGTGCTTCCACCCCCTGCGCTGGACCGCGAGGGTGAAGGGTGGCAGGGAGAGAGGGCGGTAATCACAACAGCAGCGACCCTTGTGGACCTCCAGTGGGACCAAGAGAGCTTCAAGACGTCCTTGGGGAGTTACAGGCTGGCTTGATCGAGAGTCCACGGCGGGCTTGGACGGCCCAAGATGTACCTAACATCTTTCGAGAGGTTCCCAGATGGCTCCGCCCAGAGCCCTCCGACGAGCGAGCATCCTCAAGCCGCAATGGGTTTTGGCACGCAAGCTGCCTTCCTCCCAATCATCTTGAGGTGCTGGGCTCCTCCTCGTCCTCCTCTCTGCT